AGTGGCTTATATACTTGCCTTCAGGAAATACATTTAACTGCAAATTTAGAACAGGAACACCTTACAGACATATCGTTTCATTTATTAGGTGCTACACAAAAATTACAAGACTTCCTTTTTTAGCGATTTATTCATAATACAGGCCAGTTATGAAGTATATGAAAGGGGCACCTTTTTTCAATTAAAAGTATATGATTCAAGGGGTACCTTTTCTGTCAAAATGGTATATAAAAGGGTAAGGGGTTGGACCTCGGGGCAGAGCCTCCCCATGTAGAACTTTGTAGGGTACACCTCCTCCATGTCTACAATCAACAAGTTCCATAGTGTCTTTTGCAGCAGGCATCATCTGAAGTTGAACCAAACTCTCCTCTTCACAACGTTGCAATGCAATAGTTTCTTTCATCATACCCTTTTGGGCGAGCCTTAGGGGGGGGGCTGCTCCCTTACATGCCCTATATAGGTATGTGCGGCCCCGAAGGGTATGGTTTTTCAGCCATTTTGATCATAAATAGGGTATCGATTTTAGCCAATTTGATCATTAATAGGGTCTGATTTTTGCACTCTAGTCTTGAATTGGACATGTTTTTTTAGAAGAAGCTACTTTTTCATCATTATCGATAAGACCGATCCACAGAAGCCCTTCACAATGCCTTTGACAGCAGTCTGAACTACAGAACTAAGTATAAGGCAGGTCTGAAACAGGGTCTTGATTTAGGGTCAGGTCATAAATAGGCTATTGAAAATCACAGATTTTGGTCAAATAGGGTAAGGGTTTTGGGAAGCGGGCAGCACAACCCCACTCAATTTTTCTCGGAGTACCCCCCCAAGGGGGCCAGCCACTGATGACAATTAAACAATGTCTTTGTTATTGCCAGTGAGATAAATTACGCAGAACTAACAATTATTCTATTGTATCCATAGTCTAACAAATCTCTTAATGCTCCCATGACACATCACTTTAAGCAGTTGCAATGTTCTTTACCTTAAACCAAAATCTTACTGCTGAATATGTTACCTTCAAATTCTTTGTATGCCACTGGATGTCCTTTCTTTTTGGCTTCCTCATACATCTTCAATGACTGGTCTGGAGGAACAACCTGACAGGGAATTGCCAAAGAAACTTCATTTTATACCGGCACTGGAAAAACCAAATTATTTTCCTCTTTTCTTAGTGGCTATGTACAGTTGGCCCTTGCTTATTTTGAATTCTCAGGGGAAACAAAAAAATGTTTGAAACAGTGGGAGTTTGAAAAGCCAATAGTAAATGACTGAAGGGCAAATCCAATGCAAATGGTTTTGAGTTTGAAGTACATGGGGATTCGAAAAAACCAAGTTCGAATAACCAGGGTCTAACTGTGTCTTGAAGGAGGATAAAGGCACATCTAGCAGTATTGGTAAACTGTAATCAACAACTTAAAGTAATATCCTAATAAAAACACCTTCAAATTGTAACTTTAAAGTAGCATTACAGAAAATTAATCTCCAACAATATGAGTTTCCCTATTTATAGAGTGGTTACTAGGTAACAAAGTATCTCTTCATGGTTCTATCCTGACTATTGTTGAACAACTTTGAAGAGTTCTTGACATAATAAGTAAGTATAAACATTGTAAGAAACTCTAAGAGGGTTGTCACAAATGGTGCATCCTGAAAAGTTCAGCCTAAATTTTTCAACTTCATCTTAAGTAATCAGTGTTTTCCGGTCTTAGCCATCCTATGGGGATTTATAACTAATAATTTGATTTAGCACCCTCCCTCCAATAAGCACCTTTGAATATTTTTATGTTAACAAGTGCTCTTATCGCATATTGGTGCCCCTATAGAAAATTAGTTCCTCTGATTGCTTAAATAACCTATCCAGTCCTTTTTCAGTTAAAGCATCTTCAGAGTAAATTGAGATGAGCCATCCATTACCATTTTTTAACTGAATGCTCATATCATCTGCATTAAAAAAACAATTAGTCTTCCTCTATTAGTATCTTGACTTCTTCTCAGGTCAGAAGTTGTAATAAATTTATCAAAGACAAATTAAAGCGTTGTTTGAAATGGAAAGTTTGGATTTCCTGCACACAGGTGCTATACAATGTATCAATTGAATCATTATGATATCACTTCTTTGATGTTAGTCTACCTTACTGAACAACTATTTCAAGGTTTCCTTTGATTTAATTTTTTATATATAAAATTTTATATAAAGCTTTAAAGTCAATCATTAAAGCGCAGTTAATGGAGGGTGACGCTATTTATGTACAGTCACTAGCTTACTATTATTAAACATAATGCAATAGAACTGCTACGCGTTAGAACATTATATGTCTTTCTTGTCTAGTTTAAACATTCACAATAGCCTTGCACGCATGCATGTCACAACAACGTCTGGTTTAACTATATCATGCGTTTTGTATGGCTAGTCTTTTCAGTAGCCCTATTCTTGTTTCGTTCAAGGCTGCATGGGCTCTGTACTTTTCATGGTACACGATTTTATATTGGTCTAAACCCAGACATTTGTCTAGCTATGTAAGAGTCTTAGCTTGGACTTTAGCATCATTCACTCATTATATCACTACTAACTTTTAGTTAGCCCTTGAAATTGTAACTCCCACCCTTCCCTCCCTTTGGAGGTTTATTGTTGTTGTTCATTAATATAAGTAATAAACTGGCGTTCACCTCTCGTGACACGCTATCGGTTAAGTCTTGCAGCGACTTCCCCAAGNAGCTGTTTTATGCACATATTCTTAATATGAACAGAGGTTCTCATCATACAAGAAGTTTCAGGCGTATACACCTCTTTGTCTTTAAATACCAATTAACTAGAAATGGCTTTGCAGGCCCAAAAAGTTTCCGGGGCTTTTGAGAAACAGGTCCCTAGTACTGATGACAAAAAAAATAGCTTGTGTTTTGTCACTAATATGCCTAGTTTTCTTTTGGAGGTTGTAACGTGCTCAGATGACAACAATTTCAGAATATGGTAAGTATCAAGTTCAATGAAAATACGATCCTAGTCCAAAGTCTTCGGACACTTTGCAGTTTTGCCCAAATATGTTTTTTTTGTCCACCTCCCCCTCCCCAACCCCCAACACAATATTGATGTTGATTCATCTAAAGTAGACCCACTATACCAACATTGCTTTGGGGGGAGGGTGGTTCAGCAAATTGAATGACTTCCCACTTCAAAATAATGCGTCACCAGTTGGCATTTTGACAATTGTCCCAAAGACTTTTGGCCAGGATTGCAGTTACTACAAACATTAAATAGCAGAACTTAGGCCAGTGTGCCTCCCATTTGTAAGACTCTAATCCAATTGTACACGTAAGTTCAATTTTAATATTTGTAAATCATTTTTCTTATAGCTAGCTCACTCACTATCCATTTCTTTGCATTCAAAGGAGAATGGATTGTCAAGTACACAAGGGTGATAAATTTAATGTGATTGGTGAGAGTTACAGAGGAACTTCCCTGAAATCCAATTCCCCTCTTAATGGTAAGTTTCATTGATTGCCTATAAAGTCTGTTATATTTGGTGAAAGTGTCTAGCCATTAAGGTCAGTACTGCAGTGTATGTAAAAAAATATTGTCATTCACATGTAAAACACCATGAATAAACAACAAACATAACAGGTTTTATCAAAACATAAAAAATGATTCACTGCTATAAAATCTTGTTGGAAGTACATGTGGTATTCAGATAAGCACATTGCTTGCTAGCAAGTAAAACTTTAAGTGTTATAACGTAAAATTCAATATTTAGGATGTACCATGATATTTTAAAAACCAAAAGACAAGTTTCATTGGTGGTCTCCGTTACTGAATAAATACCTCACTGAAAAGATAACACATGCCTATGGGTATCAATCTTTTTACCAAAATAGTGTGAAGACTGGTGCTTCTCCTTTCACTTGATTTGTCAATGTCCATTCTATACTAAACGTCTATGCTTGAGTTAAGATTTCCTCACAGTTATGATTATGTTCCCTGCAGACAAGACAAGCCCATCGAGACATGATAGAACACTAAGTCGTTCTCCCTCGATAAGTCCTCATCCAAAGAGGATACTCTGGACTCCACCAACTAAAGTAATCACCAATCCACGATTAAACCAGATCTCTAGTCCTGTTGGCATGGTACCATCCAATCCTCAGAGCCCCCTTAACAAGACCCCACCAAAGATGCAAAGCCTTCAGTCATTGTCTCCAATGGTTTCTGCCAGTCCAACAAACTTACAAACAGGTTTCAATTTTATATACACTTTGATTTGGTTTTATTGATCATCTCCGTTTCCTACTCACTAACTTATTCCTCCATTTGCCTCTAAAGGTTTACTAACTCAAGTGGCTCCTAACAAACTCTCATACCTTTCCCCTGCAAGTACTTCAGTTTCTCTTCCCCTCTCCCCCAGGGGTCAAGTGTCTGAAGCATCTAAACCCAGATCAGTAACTGATGCCAAGTTTCAAAGCCCAAAACAGTTGCTGACATCCTGGTTGAGAACAAATTCAAGAAAACGAACTCACAGTGATAGTGACAACAAAACTCCACAGATCAAGTCACTAGCATCTGAACCAAGCTCCACATTAACAAACAAATTCAAGGGCACGGCACAAAATGTAGAACTGTCACTCGTATCGCCGAGTGATCAAACAGAAGAACATGGAATAAAAGAAACAAAGGAAAATGGTTTTAATGGACAGAAGAGCCCTTCAGAGTCTCCACTGAAGAAAAGACTGTGCGTCAACACTTCTTTAAATTTGTCTTCACATGTTCAAGAGAGTAAGCATGCAAAACTTAATCTGAATCCAGGGAAAGAAAATTTAACTTGTGATAATAGTTATTGCCCTCCTGAAGAAGTCAAACAAGCTAAAACGAAAAGTGATGCAAAGTGTCACAAAGAAACTTCAATAACAACATCCAAACAGAAAATTACAACACAGTCCAGAAGTCAAGTTTCTACTCCAGCAAGAACCCAGAACTGGTTAACAAAGTGGAGCATTTATTGCAAAGCAAAGTACGGAGATAAAAACCGTTCACCAGCTGGAAATAAAGGTGAAAGCACTGCCACAGAGACTCTTACANCTGAAACAAAAAAAGATATTCCAAAAAGGAAAATGCCATTCTTCTTTACTTTGAAAAGCCTTTCAAATAAGCAGCAATTATTTTTTACTTCGTAGGCATTTTAGTAGGGGTAGCAGCTTAATAGGGGTTTGACTTGATCTCATACCTCCACTTTCTGGAATCAATTTTGATTTCCCTGAGAGGAAAGAATGTAAGTTGTGCATTTAACTCTTATTGTTTGTCTAATATTATTTTCTTGTATTGCTTTTGTTCATTCATGCTAGAAAGAGGACAATCCTGAGCCAGGACAAAGCATTTTGACTTAATTCAAACATGTCAGCCCTTCTTGAAATGCTGACATAATGACATTGAATTGTGCTTTACGATAAATAACTCATCTGTGTAGTTGTCTTCCACAAACAAATGACAACTAACAAGAGCATACTATTTAAATATACATTTAAAGGCAAATATTACAGAAATAATTTTAAAATACAATTTATATAATGGTTATTGTTTAGAGGATATTTTTTAATGAGTTTATTTGCAAATGTGAATCAGACACAGATTTGTTTTGAACATTTCGCTGAACTGACTTCAACAAAATCTTGGTTAAAAACACATTTGTTCTAAGTCAAGCTGGAGTTTGTTCAAGAGGTTTGAAGTACAAAAATTCTTAAACTTGGTTGAATACTGGGCATTTTGGTTTTTGTTTATTGCAGAGCCATTGTGTTATTTTTTGCAAAGCTTGATGAGGGATTATTACCTTAAAACTGAAGCTTTCCATCCAAACCAATTACAGAAATATTGACTTAGAGTTAGAACCCAGAACCTCAGCTTGTTTCAGTCCACCTGTCTCAAACTTAGCCTTCCTTTTAAAATTTGTTTGATATAAAATGAAAATCAACATCATGTTCACCTCTTTCATATGAAAGGATTTACAAATTACCTTCACACTTATAATGACAACTAGTTATTTCTTAATCACAGTAAATATCTCTTAAATGTTCACCACATGGTGAGAACAGGTGCAAAAATCTTCACACTTGGCCTTTAGAGGAATGCAGATATGTTCAATACAACTCCTGTTAACAAGTTTAAGACAGTTATAGAAAAGCAGGAGCAGGGAAAATTTGTCTAGAAATAAAAAGAATAAATAAGACTATGTGACAATATCTGTGACCACAGTACAATGAACATTTTCAGCTTTTATTGAATAGATGTAAGAACAGTGAAGAATGAATGTTTGACTGTTTACTTGTACAAACTTACAGTTTTTTACTTTTTACACTGGATTAATAAATCTATTCTAAGTAGAACCTGATCTCAATTCAGTATTCAAAGCAATACAAACATACAGGATCCACATGGAAAGTCTACTTCACCTTTAGTTTAGAACAGTCTACTTTTGTACACATTCAAATACTCCAGTTCACTGTGACAACTTATCTGTAGCATTCTAACCTATTCTAACTGATACAAACCAGCAGGCCTGGTCAACTAATTTCCTTCCTCAGGCAAGTTTTCAATGACAAGCTGTAAAAAAAAAATCAATATAATACAGAAAGTAAGTCTTTTTAGAATTATTTAACAAACAACATCAAAAACTTACTTCCTGATGTTAAAGTTCAATCATATATCTTCTACCCCTACTGTATGACTAGAACATTGTGTTCATTAACATTCAGACTGAGTATTTTCAACTTATGGAGGTGGCAAAATTACTTTTGGGAGGCACCAAACACCTCTCAGAGGACTTGACTGAGAAAACAATAGAACAAACAACAGAAGTAAGAAATTCATGTCAAACTGGTAACTATATTATTCCCTCGAAATTATACCACAATTAAGTGACTTACATCCACATCAATGTCAGGTGCATCAAAGTCAAACACACGGGAGTAGAAATAAAATTCTCCATCCAAAGAGAATTTGATGTTCTTTGCTTGGCGAAAACCATGCTGTTCACCTAAGAGATAAAATAGTCAGTAGTATTCTGACATGAATGTGATTTGTATTTGCAACACAAACACGAGTGCAGGAGTCGATACAAGCACTAACAAGTGGAAACGTTCATGTTTGCATCACTGATGAAAATCAGGCCCGAATGTCTACGAGTGGCTTATATACTTGCCTTCAGGAAATACATTTAACTGCAAATTTAGAACAGGAACACCTTACAGACATATCGTTTCATTTGTTAGGTGCTACACAAAAATTACAAGACTTCCTTTTTTAGCGATTTATTCATAATACAGGCCAGTTATGAAGTATATGAAAGGGGCACCTTTTTTCAATTAAAAGTATATGATTCAAGGGGTACCTTTTCTGTCAAAATGGTATATATAAGGGTAAGGGGTTGGACCTCGGGGCAGAGCCTCCCCATGTAGAACTTTGTAGGGTACACCTCCTCCATGTCTACAATCAACAAGTTCCATAGTGTCTTTTGCAGCAGGCATCATCTGAAGTTGAACCAAACTCTCCTCTTCACAACGTTGCAATGCAATAGTTTCTTTCATCATACCCTTTTGGGCGAGCCTTAGGGGGGGGGCTGCTCCCTTACATGCCCTATATAGGTATGTGCGGCCCCGAAGGGTATGGTTTTTCAGCCATTTTGATCATAAATAGGGTATCGATTTTAGCCAATTTGATCATTAATAGGGTCTGATTTTTGCACTCTAGTCTTGAATTGGACATGTTTTTTTAGAAGAAGCTACTTTTTCATCATTATCGATAAGACCGATCCACAGAAGCCCTTCACAATGCCTTTGACAGCAGTCTGAACTACAGAACTAAGTATAAGGCAGGTCTGAAACAGGGTCTTGATTTAGGGTCAGGTCATAAATAGGCTATTGAAAATCACAGATTTTGGTCAAATAGGGTAAGGGTTTTGGGAAGCGGGCAGCACAACCCCACTCAATTTTTCTCGGAGTACCCCCCCAAGGGGGCCAGCCACTGATGACAATTAAACAATGTCTTTGTTATTGCCAGTGAGATAAATTACGCAGAACTAACAATTATTCTATTGTATCCATAGTCTAACAAATCTCTTAATGCTCCCATGACACATCACTTTAAGCAGTTGCAATGTTCTTTACCTTAAACCAAAATCTTACTGCTGAATATGTTACCTTCAAATTCTTTGTATGCCACTGGATGTCCTTTCTTTTTGGCTTCCTCATACATCTTCAATGACTGGTCTGGAGGAACAACCTGACAGGGAATTGCCAAAGAAACTTCATTTTATACCGGCACTGGAAAAACCAAATTATTTTCCTCTTTTCTTAGTGGCTATGTACAGTTGGCCCTTGCTTATTTTGAATTCTCAGGGGAAACAAAAAAATGTTTGAAACAGTGGGAGTTTGAAAAGCCAATAGTAAATGACTGAAGGGCAAATCCAATGCAAATGGTTTTGAGTTTGAAGTACATGGGGATTCGAAAAAACCAAGTTCGAATAACCAGGGTCTAACTGTGTCTTGAAGGAGGATAAAGGCACATCTAGCAGTATTGGTAAACTGTAATCAACAACTTAAAGTAATATCCTAATAAAAACACCTTCAAATTGTAACTTTAAAGTAGCATTACAGAAAATTAATCTCCAACAATATGAGTTTCCCTATTTATAGAGTGGTTACTAGGTAACAAAGTATCTCTTCATGGTTCTATCCTGACTATTGTTGAACAACTTTGAAGAGTTCTTGACATAATAAGTAAGTATAAACATTGTAAGAAACTCTAAGAGGGTTGTCACAAATGGTGCATCCTGAAAAGTTCAGCCTAAATTTTTCAACTTCATCTTAAGTAATCAGTGTTTTCCGGTCTTAGCCATCCTATGGGGATTTATAACTAATAATTTGATTTAGCACCCTCCCTCCAATAAGCACCTTTGAATATTTTTATGTTAACAAGTGCTCTTATCGCATATTGGTGCCCCTATAGAAAATTAGTTCCTCTGATTGCTTAAATAACCTATCCAGTCCTTTTTCAGTTAAAGCATCTTCAGAGTAAATTGAGATGAGCCATCCATTACCATTTTTTAACTGAATGCTCATATCATCTGCATTAAAAAAACAATTAGTCTTCCTCTATTAGTATCTTGACTTCTTCTCAGGTCAGAAGTTGTAATAAATTTATCAAAGACAAATTAAAGCGTTGTTTGAAATGGAAAGTTTGGATTTCCTGCACACAGGTGCTATACAATGTATCAATTGAATCATTATGATATCACTTCTTTGATGTTAGTCTACCTTACTGAACAACTATTTCAAGGTTTCCTTTGATTTAATTTTTTATATATAAAATTTTATATAAAGCTTTAAAGTCAATCATTAAAGCGCAGTTAATGGAGGGTGACGCTATTTATGTACAGTCACTAGCTTACTATTATTAAACATAATGCAATAGAACTGCTACGCGTTAGAACATTATATGTCTTTCTTGTCTAGTTTAAACATTCACAATAGCCTTGCACGCATGCATGTCACAACAACGTCTGGTTTAACTATATCATGCGTTTTGTATGGCTAGTCTTTTCAGTAGCCCTATTCTTGTTTCGTTCAAGGCTGCATGGGCTCTGTACTTTTCATGGTACATTATTTTATATTGGTCTAAACCCAGACATTTGTCTAGCTATGTAAGAGTCTTAGCTTGGACTTTAGCATCATTCACTCATTATATCACTACTAACTTTTAGTTAGCCCTTGAAATTGTAACTCCCACCCTTCCCTCCCTTTGGAGGTTTATTGTTGTTGTTCATTAATATAAGTAATAAACTGGCGTTCACCTCTCGTGACACGCTATCGGTTAAGTCTTGCAGCGACTTCCCCAAGCTTCGTTTTCGTTAATTTAGTGGCATTATTTAATGCTCTTTTATGCCTCTTCTTGTCCGATCCAGCACATGCCGGCGGAGTAGGCTCATAGTGCTGGGGAGATAAGTAATGCTTGAGAACTGTCGACACTCTAGCACAATGCTGACCGGAAGTCAGCTTGTAGTGCTGTTTAGAGTTAGGCTTCTAGGATGCCTAAGCTTTTGGCCTCGCCGGCTTGTCTGATCCAGTGCAGAATTAACCGCTGGGGAGATAAATTTGGCATTTGGTCACCCAATGGAAGTTCGTCCGTCACGCTGATTGCGGAGCAGTGTTCCCCCCTTTACGCCATAGATCGTGTGCTTATTGCTTGTGATTGTCGGGGTATTTAAAGCATTACTCCCTAGGAACTGCAACATTAATTGTAAAATGACTGAATGTATCCTTCTAGGAAGGATGACAAACTCCTCACAAAATAATATTTACCTACCTTGTCTTCTGATCCCTGAAAGATACACAAAGCACAGTCAAGTTGCTCAGTGTAATGTATCGGTGACCTCTCCTCATAAATTTTTTTATCCTCAGGATATGGACCAATCAGAGTATCCAGATAACGACTCTCAAACTTGTGAGTGTCCTTTGCTAGGGCCTCAAGGTCGGAGACTCCGTAGAAACTGGTACCTGCACTAAACACCTTATGGAACGTCAAAGCAGCTAATGCAGCAAAACCACCGGCAGAACCACCGTCGATCAGCAGCTTACCAGAATCAGCTTTGCCTTCATCAGCCAGGAACTGAGCCCCACTGCAACAGTCTTCAATGTCTGCAATGCCCCACCTGAAAAGCGTATGAATGTTGAAACTATGCAGATGCCCTAATGGATGGAACACTAGTCCATTGCAGGGTTACCCCCAAGCATGGATTCACTGGTACCCATCTAAACACCTGGGTGGAGAGAGGCACTGAGAGTAAAGAGTCTTGCCCAAGAACACAACACAATGTCCCCAATTAGGGCTCAAACCCGGACTTCTCAATCCAAAGTCTGGCACACTAACCACGAAGCCACAGCAGCTCCACAAACTTATCCTGTGTATGCAGGCATCTCTTTGCTCCTTTCTCTTATGCAAAGAAAGTCAATACTCAGGTGAAGAAGCCCTACAAGGATCCTTTCCTGATTGATTGTTACTTGTATTCAAACAATTATCTGTAATAAGCTGTGATGAAAAAAAAATGGTAACCACCAAGCAGTGTAAAGTAGTTTTACTTCATTCAGTCCAATGATAATACTGATTATTACTGATCAAATTAAAATGTGTTCATGGAACTGGTAAAGGATTTTCATTACTACTCCCTTAGTTGTTAAGACATGTAGCTATGTATTACAACAATTGTATACAACTAAAGCAGCTGGAATTCAAACCCATGACTTCCGCAGATACCAGTGTAGTGCCCTACCAACTGAGCTAACAAGCCAACTGGGAGCTGGTCATGTTGCGTGATCTTTCATATATTTATTCACTTGCATTACTCACTTAGTCTTGAGAGAATCTCGGTACTCTCTGCCATAACCTGTGCTGCCACGGTAGTTGACATCGAGCACAGCAACTCCCCGGGAAGTAAAGAACTGTTTTTTAAGGTCCAGGGTTGGTGAACAAGCACTTGTGGGGCCACCATGAACCTTGACTAACAGTGGAGGCTTCTCACCTTCTGGACCTTCATAATCTTTGTTCTGCAAATGAAAAATAATTAAATATTATATTATAAAATGTTCAAGGAGTTAAACACACTCTGATTGGTCAGTTCATTATTGTGTCGTAAAATACACACCTAATATCACTACCTAACTATATCATTATAATGCACAACAATTTATATGTAAGTAATGATTGTATTTCAGTTCACAACCATGACATAACAACAAACAAATGTGACTATAATTCCATCAGGATTTAGACACATGGTTGAATGGCTTAATTCACTTGTGAGAGAGGCCACAACTTCATTCTGCTGCATGTTAGGACAAAATGGATGCGTCTTCACTTTACTTAATTGCCCTCTTCATTTTTAAGCAATTCCTTGTTTCTTCTTAGATTTTATCGCATTGTATGTATTTTTACTTTTCTTTGTGTTACACCTATTTTTTTGTAAATTCAAGCAGTTGTTTTGAAAAGGATCTACTAGCAATATTGGACATCATGTTGCCAGCTAATGAAAAAGTCTCATAATCACAAAAAGTTGTGGAACAACCAATGTCAAACCATTAATTAGAATCATTAATTATTTAATGGTCTTTATTTAATAGAAAAAGAATACAATTCAATACGGCTAGTGACTTCAGAAAACAGGGTTAACTGTTAAGAGCTATGAGTCTAAGTTGGGTTTACTAGGTATTTAGGGCCTGTCTACAAGGAGGAAGGGATACCCTAGCAAGCAGGTTAACCCAGCTGGAGGGCAAAAGATAGCCTGGGTTTACAAGCAAAATTTCACAGGTAGGGTAACCCTACAACCTGGGACAACTTAATGCACAGTTACACTCAAATGGTCTGGAAACAAGTAGAAAGTTAATCCAGGTAGGCGGGTTAACCCTACTTAGGGTGTTTACAAGGGGAAAAGGTAACCCGCCTGCCAGGGTAACCCTAGCACACAGATAGGGTAACCTGCCTACCTGGGTAACCCTGGCTGCCTTGTGTGAGTGCTAGGGTAACTCGTTTGCTAGGGTAACCCGCTTGCTGGGGTAACCCTCTCTACTTGTAAACAGGCCCTTAGAGACTTAACTTTAATATGGCCATATAAGTTAGAAAGCATGTTAAATGAATCTGACTCATACATAAACACCAACATTCAGGGCCTACCTGAGGAGGGTAGTAATATCCATAAGCCTTAGCATCATCTGTTGTATCCCATGTTATCTCCTTAGGAATACTAAAGTAAGCAATATCTATATCAGTACTTTGAGTTGCACGTATGACAGCGGTTGTTCCAGATTTGACATCCACTTTTATGAGCTTTGTAAACATGCTTGGACTGCCAGCTACTACAAATACGCATTTCCCATTAGGAGAGTAGTGCATCTTGGAGAAAACCTTGTAATCCACATCTAGCTTAATTTTGCCTTGTTCGCCTGAAGGTTTCAGGCATGCAATGGTCTGCACAAAATAATGAAAAAAATAATTAATAAATAATGGTATAAACTGTAGTTATAATTGAATGAGTGCTAGGGATAAAGAACTTCAAAGCTACTATCGTTATTAAATTACAAGTAAACTTGATCATTCAGAAAATGATAGTTTTTATATGAGTAACTACCACTTAAAACCATTTAGCACTTCATAGCAAGTCTGATGTTTGTATGAACTTTTTGCCAAATGGAAAAATCTGGATTACCGGTACATATAAAAAGACTTTTAAGTGACTAATTGTCTTTGTGTGATTTTTTTAAGGATTTATTTTTCTGCCCCTGTTTTGATAAATCTAATTTCTTTTTGTTCTCTTCCAGAGTTTTCTAAAGTTTAAGGAGGCCTTGTAGTAGGTTTTATTTCTTGGCTGCCATCAAAATATCCATACCTGTTTCATAGAGGTTCTTTGGATTGAAACCCTCCCCCCTAGCCCACCCTAGCGTGCGTAGCAAGCATTCCCGTACGAAGAGCTTTTCTGTATTGTCGGCGCGTAAATTGGAGCAAGAGCGAAAACTCGACGAAGCAGGGAGTGGTGAGGCAAAGGAGGGAATGCTTGCCCGCAAACCCCTCAATTTTGAAAAACGACCACTGGTTTCCACAGTTGAGTTCACTTATTGATTGACAACTTTGTCACCCACGCGAAAATCATAATAGTGCAACATGTATCTACATACTCGTTTGGAGGACAATGAGTCAAATGTTCGGCTTAAGACCAGGTTTTCCACTGGTTTAACTCTAACCATTCATCAGCTTGACGGTCATTTCATTCTCTTGCTGCTACAAAGATATTTAACCGTTGAATTATAGAACAGGCTGGAAATTGGAAGCCTTTGTTTGAAAATTGTCAGCACGAGTAAATTCGCTTTTGCAGGGAAAACAACAACCAGTCGCCGGGTTCTAAAATTCTGTCTCACCTTATCTGGACATGAAAAACTACTCACGATCAGAAAAGGTTAGATGCGAGGTTGCCAAATAAGACTAGCAAAGATTGGTTCTCCTTTGATCTTTGTGCATGATCAATAATTAAAACAACAGCTGAAAGATTTTAAAAGCTTTCGCGAAATCCAGCAGGTAATACAGCCACCAAGTCTTAACCCTCTAAAGATGGTGTCTTCTGAGTAAATTTGAATACCATTCACCTCAAGACTACTATTATAAATCTTCGCTTGGGCTAGCACAATTTCATGAACCTTCCCCCATGGCATTGTGCAAGCAAGTCACACTCGAGTTATTCCTGAAATCAGTCAAGCGAATTTGATATACTTGTCAATCAAGATGGCCACGCTGCACCAATCAGAGGCCCCATTCGCTCGCAAACAGGTTTTTCAAAATCGAGGGGTTTGCAGGCAAGTGTTCCTTCCCTTGCCTCACCACCCTCTGCTTTGTCGATGTTTTGCTCTCGCTCTAATTTACGCGCCACCAGAATGCGGAAAAACTCTTCATACAGGAACGCTTGCTACACAGGCTAAGCCCACCCTATCCCACCCCACCCCACTGGAAATGCACATTTGGCTTCAAATATTCTTTCAAAAAATCTTTGGCTTTTAAACCAACCCACCCACTCTCCCCTCCCCCTCCCCCACATCCCACTTTTCCAATGACAATCCCTGGTATGTGCATGGTCATTATAACCTGGAACCACAAGATGAGCAAATTAAAATGATCCATTAAATGTAAAGTAATTTTATTGACTATTAAATACGACAAAGCTGAAGGATTATTCAACAGTCATTCATACCGAGCCATGAATAACCAATATGTCCCCATTGCCATTTGGGTTACATGAGTAAGGACTTCCTCCAAACGTCCACGCTGGTTGGCCAATCTCTTTGGACTGAGGGCACAAGCTGGTCTCTTTGTTGTCATCATCCAATTGATACAGATTCCACCAGTTTGTTTTGTCATTAATATAAAGCAGGTTGTCATCTGGAGACCACTTAGGAAGCATAACACTAATGCCTTCACCTCCTGACACCTAAAAAAAAAAATCACCACAAATCAGAGCTCAGTAAAAATGACTATAGCCTGACAATGTCTCTAGTGGTATACATCACCATAATTTACTCCAGAAAATGACAGCTAGGCAACAAACAAATGTTTTGTGTTTTAAATCTTAATAATAAATCCTATACTTACATACAATTTTCACTGACTGTCTAATGATAACAATGAGACGTTATAGTCCAGTCTAATCGAATCTCGTAATGAATGCTTGGCTGGAGTGAAAAGAATCCCAGTTTAAGAAGATGATGAAGATATATGATGGAAGGTGGAAAAGGAGCAGAAAAATAGACATTTTATTCCCATTGCCCCCATCCATGAGTATACATTGGTACCAACAACTTGATAGGGTTTCCTAACAAAAATAATGCTGGGGTTACCTTTGATGGACTTAATAGAAATTTCTTTTAACTATTCTCTACATACTATGGAAACTGAAGTTACAAACAGCTTGATCCAGCTTATACACTGTACTTGAAAACAAACTTATGATCAATATGATAATCAGTAAAAATATTGCTCCATAAAGATGCATGTTACCTTTCGTTTTGTTTCCTCCAACAATGAATGTCCATTTGGTGCAAACTCTGCCAGCCAGAGCTCTGTGCTATCCCATGGCTGCCAAAAGAACAAACAAGCACAATTGTACCATAGGTTATTAAGTAAGTCTTCATAATGTTATGGCCAGGAGAGGGGGAGAGGGTGAACTCCCATGAGCTGATATACAGGAGACTTCACTGAATGGCTATTTTGTCTTGTTTTGCCTCAAATATCTGGGTACATTTTTTCCCATGAGTTCAAGATTCAGACCCAATGCATTGGCCAGGCTATCATTAAGTTTCACCTGTTCTTCACACCTCTATCAAAGTTAATGCATTGAGGGTAAATTTTACTAACAGCAGGAAAGTTCACCCTCGACATAACAGGTTATGACCTTGAATGATAGCCCTCCACATGGATTTGTAGTTTCAGTTGTCCAACTGCATCAGGATTTCTCTCTTCAACATGCCAATTTATTGTCATCTGAGTTACTGTTTTGGAAAGTAACCACATCATTTATTTACAATCAGTATGTTAGGGCAAAGTTATATATTAAATTCCCAGGGGTATTATTAATAGCCAGGCAAGGGGCACATTAAACAGCTGCAAGGACAATTTTGTCTGCCTGGTTTGACTATGGCAGAAAGTTCTTATAAGAATAAGTTCCGTTCAAACAGTTTTGCCCGCCTGTAAAAACCAGTTGTCCTCCTGCTGAAAACATTAACAAAAACCCTAAATTCTTGTAATTATGTTTGTAAAAAAAAAACAAACAAACATTTAAAGCACATGCAGACTCCCTTACCATGTTAGGGTGGTCCCATTGTACCCAAGCCAAAGTGCCATTCTTGGATACTCTTGGTGTCGAATAAAAGTTCGCTCCTGACACCTACCATAAAAGAAAAGAAAAATGTTTGAAACTTAAGCTGTAGGGATAAATAAAATAATATATTAAATATCTTCATTCACCACAATGGGGCTTACAAGTCCAGTGTTACAGCGGTTACGTCATGCTTCGACCATCTTGAAAAGTTAAGCCCTAACTTTTCAAGTTCATCATTTATAATCCATATTCACTAATCTTCTTCGTCCTGAACCATCCTTGTTCCCGTAGACCTGGGCCAACCATGCTTCAGGTCCACCCGACCACAATGTCTGTTCTGCTCTGATTATGCTGACACCTCGCTTGAAACTCTACTCTACTAATAGTTATTAAACAGGGGTCCAAAAAAAACTTGAATTCCAGCTTGCCCTTCTTAGTTTGCTCTTTTTTATAATTTAGCTGGCAGATGACTTGCCTGAAGCCCTTGCCCATCAGGCAAGTGAGAATGAAAAATTACTTGCCCACCAGGAAAATCTACTTGTCCTGGAAGACCAGGCGGCACTTTTTTCGAGCCCTGTAAAACCCTGACCCGTTCTGTGGATCTTTTGTAACATGGCACTCAAGCATACAACTTGCATGCATGGAAAGTTCAAAGTTTAACAAAGCAAGCAAAAAACAATACAGTAGCATAGGGCTGTCATTAAGGGTTGTAACCCATAACACCTGTTACAGCTAAGTATGCTTCATAAGCCCTTCATGTCAAGGGTGAATTTGATTACTGTTGATACAGTTCTAACCACAAAGCAACAAGTTTGTTACAGGTGTGTGAAGATCAAGGCAACAGGGGACACAAAACTTAATGACAGCCCTAATATAGTAGCAGGCAACCCACCAAAACAAACTGTTCCTTCTTTTTACGATTGATAGCAACAAGGGAGTTTTGAGCCTCAGTTGCTCCCTCACTGAGAACCTCGTGATCTTCTCGCACACACACAATAATGTGCTTTTTAAAAAGGGTACCATCTGCATATCTCCAATCTTTATCCTTCGGGGTCAAAGGAACTGGTGGAGTCCCTGACTTCTTGAGCTTCTGGCAGTACATCCTTTGATCTTTGAAGTTGGAAAAGTAGATACGGTACCTGTTTACAAAGAATGCACCCCCTCCATATTCATGGACAAGTGTTCGGCTGTTGAAGTTGTCCGGAGTAAGAGTCTGGAACCCTTTTTCTCCCTCACTCCAACTGCATACAACATATCTTCCATCTTCCTCAGGTCGCATCTCAGACCAGAACACTTTATCTGAAAAAAAAAATTTTCAATTCATACTTAGAAGTCTTCACACCAGCTTGACTCTTAATTTGATAACAAAACATATGCACTAAATTACTCTGGTTCAAGAAGTTTTCAACTTTCATGGCACCCATGAATACAAATAAAGGCTGTTTTTGTTCTTGTTGTTACACTCATATATTCAAATACTACAGCTACAATGTACAAGTATACTGCTAACTAGACGATTGTAGGTGTCCAATAGTTTTAAGTGTAGCCACTGTCATAGAATTTTGTTCAAAGACATATAAAAAATTGTTTTCTTTACTTCAAATTCAACTGGATTCTGGTCTCACCTAGGGTGTTGATGATGAAATGTCAGTATTCCTGAGCATCTTTAAGGATGCATTGAAAGAAATAATAATAACAAAAGAAATGCTATTATTTTTTTCTCAAGCATCTAAGCGGGCCGGAATCCTAAATCCTCGAATTTGATTGGCTAATCATACTCACGTGAGCGGTCCAGCTTTTTATGATATGGCCCACGGGCCAGATTTTTTTCCCGCTGCCTAAATTTCGCTCCTCAAAGTTAGCAGTAATCGTCGATCTTTTGCCTTTTTTACACATCCATCGACAATTAGTCAACGCAAGTTTATCGCTGTTCACTTTAAGATGGCAAGGAAAGTCACTGTAAGTAAATTCAATTGAGTGTTTTGAAGTTGTGAGAGTTTGCTTGGTTGTTCGTGGCTTGGCACTGTAATGGCGCATAATCCTGTGTTTCCCTCGCCATAAAATCTGAGTCAATTCCAGTCAAGTTTACCTCTCTGATTGTTGCAATATTTAGGAGAATTTCTGTGGAATACAGTTAACAAATTTCCTCGCTTTCTGCTATTCAATTTACGGTAGAAAAGTCTGATTTTAAGTAATTTTAAAAGCAACGACTGACAGAAATTGGTTTTGTAGTAAAACTTCAAACTTCACACGAAATTTCACATTGCAAAAACAGTTTTGGAGAACTTAACTGGTGAAATGAATGCAACTAACATAAAGTAGTTCAAAAAAATCTGTTCTTTAATACATCTTTATTTGTCCACTATCTGAGTTACTCACTCGTTGCGAAGAGTTTTTTACAAATTGTTAGTAGACCGCAGGAAAAAAAAATAAACTTGTTATTTGCTGGCTTAGGGTCAGTCCGTATAGTGAAAAACTGTGACCTCGGGCTTGAAAATGCTCCCTGCTCGGGCAGCAAATGTTTTCAAGACCTCAGTCATAGTTTTTCACCATACAGACCTCCCAGCCGGCAAATAACATATATAATTATATTTCTATTTTTAGGCTCAATTTCTGCCAGTCTCTTGAGTCCAGTCTACTAGCGTGGGCTCCTTTCCTTAACAGCAACTGGTAATTGAGCCTATTCTGTTTTACGTAATATCTTTTAGGGGTCAAATAAAGTTTGAACCACACCCAGACTGGTCTCCTTTAGGGGTTTAATTCGAATTTCCTGACAAGCTCCCCCAACCTTTTCATCTGGGAGTCCCCTCCAGGCAGCGACGGAGGGGCCTAGATCCCATTTCAGACAAAATTAAAAGTTCCTTTATTCACTGAAAATAGAAATATATAAATTTCACATTATTGTCATGAAAAAAAAGGGACATTTTGACATGAAATTTCAAAACTAATGAGATTTTGAAACTTCGTTTTGCAAAGCATGCTATATATATTTACACTGATAACAACTATCCCTAAAAAACACAGCACTACTATTTGATCAAAGCAACTCCCAGTGCCAGTGATCTATCCTAGATTCTTGATACCCGTTTTCAGGGCTGTAACCAGTAGCACCTGTTTACGGCTGAGTGCTATGCTTCAGGGGGCCTTGTTGTTATGGTTGAACTTGGCTGTGGTTGAAACAATTTACCCATAAAGTAACAAGTTTATTGCGGGTGTGGAGATCAAGGCTACAGGTGAATCAAAACTTAATGGCAGCCCTGGTCTTCCAGGAGCCCAACCACATTGTGCAAGACAAAACTTCACAGATATAATCGAAACGATTTTTTTCTGTACGATGCCGACATAAAATATATAAATTTGATAGAAGTTGGGAGATACGAGTCAACACAATACTTCAAAACTTATTCAAATCTGCAAATGCAACCAATGTAAATTTTCTAATTCTTACGCGAAGAAATCTTATCGCTCGCTTTCGCTTTCTGTCGCCCAGACATATAAGCCTAGCTAAGCTTAAGCTTGTTAACAGAAAGGTTTCTAATTAAATCAGAAAACAGCTCTTTCTGCACATGTTTTAGAAAAGGAAGGTGTTAAGATTTAAGCTTAATTTAGAAGAAGTCTAATTTTGGCGGTCACGTTACAAAATTTGAACTCCTTCCAAAATCAGACAGGCAGGTTCTTTTCATCATGCATGAGTTATCAAAGATCAAACTAGTTGGCTTCTTCGGCCCGCATAGAGCAAATTTGTTTGTTTGTTTGTTTGCTCGCCGAATTCTTGTTTACAAGTTTATTAAGCTCGCCTTCGCGAAAACTTTCTATGGAAGAAGAGTAGGCTTAATATGTTTCTCCTATATCAGACATTCAATCAATCCTTTGTCTGTAGCTTGCGCGCTAAATGTCCAAATTGTACTAAAATGCGCTCTAACCCACTTTTAACATACTTTTAAATAATAATCCTACCTTCTTGCAACGGATCTATGCTGACGTCCATCACAGAAATCGATTCCTTTATCACAACATCGCTTGTTATCGGGCTCCTCCAAGACCCGTACTCTGCAGTAGTTGCCGCCATGTTTTACAACAATGAATGGAAGGTCGAACCGTCTACCCTCCATGCAAATTTGGTCTGATCCCCCAAATTGTCACGAGAGCCTCAGGTGGCGAAAACTGATATACAATGAGGGCTTACGTCAACAGTTATTGCCCTCGCTATAACAGGGTGTCAGCTTGTCATTTGGAGACTGCCAAAAGAGAAGAAATGGCGTACATCGCTGGAGTTGAGCTTGGAGGAACTACATGCCTTGCTGCGATTGCCGAGTTAAGTCATCCGACAACGATGGTTGAATGTTTTGAGACCGATACAACCACGCCTCAGGAAACGCTTTCAAGCTTGTCAGAATACCTCAAAGAGAAGCTCGCCGGTCTAAAAATCGCCGCGTACTCGTCCATAGGAATCGCTTCATTTGGTCCTTTAGATCTGTGCAAGGAATCCAAAACCTTTGGTTACATCACAACGACCCCAAAAGAGGGTTGGAGAAATGTGGCCGACGTTGTCGGATTTTTTAAGCGCGAATTTGGCGAGTCCACTCCAATTGTATTCGAAACCGACTGCAACGCACCTGCCATTGCTGAAATGGCAAAAATTAAACAAGACCAGACCGATCCTCCGACAGTGGTTTACATCACTATAGGAACTGGCGTCGGCGTAGGAGCTGTAGTGCGCGGGGAACCCATTCACGGGCTTTTGCATCCGGAAGCTGGACACATGATAATACCACCCATGGCTGGGGACAGTTACCCCGGGGGCTGCACCTTCAAACACCGCTACTGTGTAGAGGGAATGGTGCATTCTAAAGCTATAGCAGATCGTGCAGGGGTAAGTCAAAGAGAGCTTCACACCCTCCCAGACAATCATGAAGTGTGGGAGAAGGCTGGGTACTACCTAGGGGCACTGTGCCTAAATATAACGTATGCTTTGTCCCCTCACGTGATCGTGTTGGGAGGTGGGATCATGAAACGTAAGGTACTGTATGGCATAGTCAGAAGATGGTTCAAGGATTTGCTCAAAGGATACCTGGATGCGGAGAAATTCAAGACAGATGAGGGATTGGCCAGCTACATCCGAGAGAGTATCTATGGCGATTCAGCTGGAATTGTAGGAGCATTAGAATTGGCAAGGCAAGCAGCCTGCAAGAAGTAATACAGCAATGGGATTTTCATGCACATCAAATACAATTTATCATCGTGTGAAATAAACTAGAAGAGGAAGGTCATTTTAACATCTTTGCAAAACAACAAATTCAATGTCCTTTTAAAATTGTAGATACTTTTATTTTTTTAATTGAAAATTATTCCAACAAAAAACCTGAAATCATTCTCACTGAAAACATAGCCACTCACTGCCCAAGTGATCAGATATGGGTGACAAGATTTAGCCTAGGTATATACACCCGGGTGTATACGTAGGAGATTGCACAATAGTGGTGAGAGAAATAAGTACATGTCGCTGAAGGGAAGAAAAAGAAAACAAAAGAAATGGCATTTGTCATGTCCTTATTTCTGATTAAGTGCTCAGCGTGTGCCAGCAGCTTTCTACTTCCACCCATACGGGTTGTGTTGTGCACTTTTATGCTTTATTTTGACATCCTTTCTCGAAACAGCTTTATATACTTAGATGAGGGAGGAGCCTGCCAGAAGTCTCAGGCAATCAAGACCATATTTTATTGGGAAGGTAGGGGTATGATATCTTTGCATACATGGCAAGTTTTGCGGACATTTTTCACAGTGAGATTACTCTTACCACTTCAACCAAATTGTAAATATTTCATCTAAAAATATGTGCATAATCTTCATATTATTATTGTGACAAGTGCCTGCAGGTGCATGTTCATTTCACTTTGGATCAAATCTGATTCACGCAAGATATTTGCTGTTCTTCTGTCTTTTTTCTCTTCAGTCTTTTTTTGTCAGTCAATAATACTATTGTAGGAAACCCTGGTGTGAGGTCCTTCTTGTCTGTTATCAGGCTGAATATTTAAAATGTATCAATATTCAACTTTCCAATAAAAATTCAATTGTTATGCTTCAGCTAATGTTTTCCTCTTTGTGAACACAAATAAAAAGATTTATTATTTAATAAGTTATGTCAAAATAAAAATAATGCAAATTATCAAGAAAAATTATTTCAACTGTACAAGCTTGTAAACTCATAACAACTTGATGTAGCAGTGACATGCCATTAATTTTATAAATTAAACTGTTCTCACTACTTGACTGTTCAAAGACGTCCATAATGTTTTTGCATCAAGGCATTGTGTTCACTGGGTGAATGAATCTCAAAAGCTCTTTGAGGACCACCACATGGATAAGTGGAGTTTAACAAGTCCATATGCAGCAGTCCTCATATAAGTTAAACTGTCGGTCTTTCAGCTTGTTGCCGTCTTGGATTTGTTATCATCTAAAAGGGCAGCTATCATACTGAAACAAAAAACAGTTAAAAATGCATTTAATAAAACAATTGCATCAAATTAGGATATTTAAGTTTCTATGATTCAAAAATTTATACAGATATTGTCAGAAACTATTCATGCCGGCTATTAAACAATTAAGGTGGCACACCAGAGGATGATGACTCTAGGAAACCATGATTTGAGGTAAGATGTGGGATTTTGGAGAGAGTTGAAAGAATAGGGGGTTGGGGGTTGTGGTTGCACAAAATAATTCAATCTATGGGTCAATAATTATTATAAAATTAATGTGATTTTGCAGGGTTTTGCAGTCAGAGTATTTTCTGGTCATTTTTCAGGGAGGAAAAGATACATAGTGCAAATTTTTAGAGCTGGCCATGAAGGTTTGGCAGGTCTACTTTTGCCCCATAAGGATTTGGTGGCAGGGGTTATTAAGTCATGCCTGCATCACCTATAAACCCAAATACTCTTGCAACCCTGGGGGATGATAAAAAATGTACTATGAGGTTTACTAGCCTTCTAGAATTATGCAATTAGATAGAGAGTTATTTCATTGTTCAAGAAAACAGCTGGAGGTAAAATTTCAGTATTTGCTGCCAGGAGAACAGCCTATTGCTTGGTAGTGTGAAAAAAACACCCATTATGTTTGTTGTCATGCTACCCACACATCAGCCAGTATCATAGTCATGTGACTTTTGTGATTTTTCAAAAGATGACACTTTGACATTTTTCTACCCATTTGTCAGTTTTCAATTTTTATTTTCTTTTGAATTTTTATACCCATTAAAGTATCCCGCATCAACCGGGGAGAACAGTTTATTGTGTTTTCTTCATTCTAAACATTTGATCATAGTCGTGTGTTGACCCACCTGCTACTAAAGCATTGGCACAACATATTGGCCAATTTGGTTAACGAATAATTTGGCCAACATCACCCATGTACTAGCAAATGCTAGTTATGCAAGAGCAAATTCAAAGACAAAACCTCACCTATAAAGATACAGGAAAAAGAAAACAAGATGAAATCCAAGCTTGATCATAGCTTCTTTAAGAAATGCCTTAAGTTCATGCCTGTTATGAATCTCTGCAGGGTCATACAAGCCAAGATTTCCAGCTGGTTTATTGACATACCTGTCAAACAGAAAGTTATCAGTTGAATGAAGTAATATTTTTTAACTTTTTTTAAACTCTTTTTTTAACTTAACAATAAACATGCTGAAAACAGTGTTCTCTTCAATTTAGATTCAAGGGCTGAATGGACAAGCCTCTAGGGAGGTCTTGGAACATGCTTTGCAGAAAAGTTTGGAATCAAGAGGTTCTGAAATGCTATTTTACGCAATCTCTTGGAGATGTTTCCTAAAAAAATCAATTTTGGAAAAGGTCATAATGTCAAGAATATTAAGGGACTACCTGAAAGCTTTTTTTCAATTTTTATCCGATATGTACACCACACCCTGACCCCATGCCCCTTCTCTAGCTACAGTCTTGACTGTCCTGAAACAAGGGCTGTCAAGGTGCAGTCACGTTCCAAAAACACCTGTGTTTTCCCCATATTACTCTTTACAACTTAGATGTATTATTTCATGAAAAGTTGGCGGTTCAGAAATTGACATAGCTTGTTTTTTTTAGCCGGCAGCCAGTTCTTAATGAGAACCCTGTGGAAAGGTAAGGTGATTCAAATCTTCAAGCCAAAAAATTGTTAGGCTTACCAGGCTGGTGCTTAACTTGGGTTTTATTCCCATTCAGTAACTGGGAGTATTTCTGGATGGAATGCTAGATAATAATTCATCCCTTATTACTTAAAATTTGTCAAAAACATTGAAAAAGATAAATATTGATGCTGATGGCTCAGGGATGTTAACAGTAACTTATGGTAAGAGGTTAATGAGATACAAAATGGCTGGAAAATATTGAAGATTTGATCATGGAAAGATGTTCACTCTGAATAAATTATTGTAAGGTCTTTTAACTGAGGAGAGGGATACTGTTCAATTTATGAGGTCTTACTAATGGGAACATGCCATAAAAGTTTCCAATAAATTCTATCTGACATCAACCTATGAACCCTTCCTTACAGGCAGGCCGATATGTTCAAAATAATGATAATTATTTAAGTGTCTACGACAGATACTATTGGCTTTATGTCGTGATATGGAAATCAAAAAATAAAATTGGATATCATTGTCTTTTTACTACGCAGCCATGTGAAAATGTGAAATTTCACTTCTAGTTGGGTCAGAAAATTTTTTGAACAAACATAGTCAAATAGAAACGAAAAAAATAAGTGAAATATATCATAAATTAAGCACTCAAACATAATTCCAATTTTGGTTCAAAATTGTAAACATCTATGAAAGGTAAGTAGACCTACATTCTTGTTTTGATGTCACAGCCAAACGAGTCCCAAGTCCTTGCCCCCAGCGGTTTCTGACACGACCGGAGGTGAAATTTAATGTTTTCAGATGGCTAAAATGCAGCGAAAAAACAACAATATCCCATTTTATTTTTCGGATTTCCATATCAAAATACCATGTAGCTTCCATAGAGCAAATAAACAAAATGTCTGTCATATACACTTTAAAGAAAACCAAATTAACCCACCTATAAACAAGCCACCCTAGCAGGGGAGCATTGAGCAGGAAAAATATCCACTGGAAATGAGCAAGTAGTAACACAGTTATAACTCCATGAGCGACCATTTCTGGAAGAATCCACTGAAAAAACAATCTATACATTATTGACACTTGAAGTAATAGGCTTTGCTACAGGCGCAATGAATTTGTACATTAACATAACTATTTATTACAAAAAAGTACATGACATTTCGGCCTCTTTCAAAGTAAAGCATTGCCTTCGTCTGCCTTTACATAAACCTCTTAAAAGATTCCAGTAAATAAATATTTCCACTCCGTGTGCGACAAATTAGTTTTAAAAACTCTTTTTGGGTGTGGTTTATTGAGACAGGGATACTGAAAACGCTTTCAATTGCAATCAGTTATGACAACTTACAGACCTGAAATAACGTGTGAACTTACCACGTTAAGCCTTCTACAGCACGTCGTAGCATTGATGTAGTCGCATTCTAGATCCGATAAGTTAATGATCTTGATTACATGCAGAGTCAAGGAATTTCGCAAAGTATTTCAACTCGAGAAACAAATTTTGATAAACTACGTTTTAAAATAAGATCAGTATATGTATGTATAACTGTTAAAATAAGTTCATCAGACTCAACAGACTCAGTGATACCGTTTTAAATAATACCGTTACTTATAGTACTAACAGGTGGTAAAGCTGTTGACTTGCTGGAGAGGAAACGCGGCCCATTAGGTCTCAGGGAACTAGGACAGTGATTTTTTCACTGATATTCCACGAAACATTCTATTCCTGACTTTCATTCAAAGGCTCTTCGAATTATTCACCTTTTGTACAACAATGTGACATAAAGGATACAAAATAAACTGAAAGAAAAAGAAGTGCGGCTCCATCGATGAGACCAAAGATGTACAACGCCGATTCCGACATTTTGAATTTTCTGGACCGAGGCCAAAGAGGAGAGAGTGAGAACGACAACAAAGAAACGAGGCTACATGGCTCTGTTGTTTCCCCAGTGGAGAGGAGAGTGGCTGAACCCCCGGGGCTGAACTTTATATTGTACATAGCTCTTGCGCCATTTAGGTGTTTTAATGAAATAATGTGACGGAGATATAAAAAAACCTGCAATCTTTATTATTTTGAACTAGTCTGGAGTGAACACTGAACACGAAAAACCAATTTGTAAATGAAAATTTCATAACATTTTATAGTTTCTTGTTACCCTACCCTGCAAAGTAAGATATTTGACTTTGTTGCCAACACAAAACTCAACGCTCCGCGGTCGTTACGAGCTCCATACTTCAATATGGCGTCGGGCCATGGAGGAGCCGTTACAAGAAATCACTGTTATACTGCCCCCAGACACCCCCGAACAGATAAACCAGCAACTATAAACGAAAGGGCAAACAGCTCTTTAGAAACTGAACCGCTAGAAGGTCTTGGATTGAGCACTTTGAACGAAGACAAACCACCATCTTCACGGAGACACAAGAGGCATCACCAAAGCCATAAACCCAAACTGTCAGTCAGGGACTCTTTATCGCAGTCTCTTCGCGAACTAGACGATGTCGACGAGGAACATTTCTACGATCATTTATTAGCCTTGAAGAATGAGCACAAAAAAACTCTAAAAGCCGTTGAAAAACTGTATTATTCGGAAAAAGACAGACAATACTCGGGATTTCAATTGGACTCAAGGACTAAAATTGCTGTGAGCGATTTTGACGAATCTAGTATCCCTAAACAGTTTCCTTTGCGTGATTATGATCCGTTTATAGAAACTACTGAGGACGAGGAAAAAGATGATACTCACATCCCAGTCAGACCAGAAGATCATATAAGGGACATGTCAGTGAGAAGTGAAAGAACAACAGAAGACAAGGAAAATGAAGGTAGGGAGACGTAAGCTTATATAAACCTTAGTTAGCTGATCCAAATGAAGTTCTAATTCCTGTATTTTCGTCTTCTAGGATAACCTCGTGCCCTGTTTCCTCTCTTCAGGGTTCACTGCAAGTAGTCCGTTTTTGTTCCTGAAATCCAGATGTGTGTGGGACTGAGTTTAGATTATGCAAATTAGGGAAAGAATTGAGGAGGGAACCAGGGGGTAATCCCTTGTAAGGGCTACATGTATATGGATATGTGCGGCCCCAAAGGGTATGCTTGTTTAGCCATTTTGGTCAGAAATAGGGTACCAATTTTTGCTGCTAGTCACTCATCGCATGATAGGAAACAAAACTCCTCACATGCTAGGAAGAGATAGAGACTGCCCTTAGTCTATCTTCAGTGAAAATTTATTCATCAGTTGGCAGCCAGTCCTGAGGGCCACCCTAGGAACCAAGGGAGACCTTTCCAAATGCCTAATCAAGTGTTGTCAAATAATCCTGAATATAGATCAGAGGAATTTGGAGGATTATCCCTCCCCCATAAAAGCAAAATGCTTATAGATTAGTTTTGAAAACATCAAGCCAAGAGATCTTTGTACTTGAAGCATGTATTGTGTCCAGTTTTTATCCCTTACCTGTGCTGGGGCCATGGATTCTTGTGAAGCAGCAGGGTTCTTGTTGATTGCTCTCATACATGAAACTGAAGGATATTACAATACATACAGATCAGCCATGTTCAGCCCCAGTGTTTGACCTGGGTAAAATAAAAGTGTTGTTTCCTCTTACACCTTTGAGTAAAAATTGTCTGACAAATCTCAGCAAATGCCTCTGAGCTCTAGCGTTTTGGTTTTGCACTCAAGCTTCAGCACACAAGCAAGTTTATGAATGATGTAGGAGGGCTTTTCCCTGCTTGTGCCCTCGCCCAAAAACAAGAGCCTGCTGAGCTCACAGGCTAAGTAAGACCTGAGAGGATGACCTCTGGGGTAAGGTACTGACTGATGCTTTATTTCAGACTGGTTTGAACTGTGGGTGGAAATAAGGCTTAGGGAAAAAAGTTTACGACAAATCTGAGGGGAAATTTTGACCCAAGTCTTGTAGGAAATTTGGGTAAAGATCCCCTCATGTGATAGTTTGTGTTAAAAATTTCAGCAACTATGTGAAACATGAATCATGTCAGCTCTAAATCTTGAAAAATACTACGATGCTGCACAAGTCTTAGTCCTGACCTCATCTTTGGGTTTACTTAGAAGGTGCAAAGAAAATAATTATATTGCAATTTACTTCTTGTGCAAGCTGATAATGGTGTGAAACAAGTTTTAAAAGTCACAAATGTTGTCTCATTCCTTGGTTACCTAGTTAGACTTCTGCAATTTTCATGGCAAAATTTTCTCTCAGCAACAGAAATCTTAATTCCTTTCATGGCGCTTAAAATTGTAAGATGTTTTAGTTGTCGTTATGCATATTATGATTTGTAACATGATGGGTAACAGTTGTCCTGTAATTGTTAGATAACCAACCAACAAGGTGCCTTTGATCTTGAAAACAATCAAGCTAAGTTTGTCTCTTGCTGTTGATTGCATCCAACACAATTTTGCCAAAGCCCTAATGTCCTAATGCTACCAGCTACTGAGATTACCCAACCCTCTTCTACGACATAGAGTGTAACTAAATTTAATTCAGGGTTAGCATCTAACTGTTTCTAAGGTTTCATTCATTTTTTTTCTAGGAGATTCTTCTCTAGAGGAACTGCAAGAATCACGTAGAAGATCATACAGTGATCCTATAGATGGGGAACACTGGGAAGACGATGACATTAACGTCATAAGGAAACGATCAGGAGATCGAAAAGTTCTGTACAAGGAGATGTACCCTCAGAGATCCTCTGCGCTAGATGTAGTAGAGGACATGTGGGAAGGTTTCTCTGTGTATGATTACCCCCCGGATGAGAGCCCTCCCCGTGAAAAACAGGAGAAAAAGAACGAATGGACTCCACAAATCACCATTCCTAAACCATTCACTATGACAGTAAGAGAGGCAAAGAGAAAGGCGAAGCATATGACAAGATCGCAAATGATTCTTCAGGAGGATTTGAAAAAGAAGAAGGAAAAGGAAGAGGCGGAGTTGCATAAAAAGTTTCGCGCACAACCTGTTCCTGCAACCACGTTTTTGCCGCTTTACGACGAAATCACGCGTCAAAACGAGCTCCGAAGATACCATGTGCGAGAGCTCAGCAAAGCGATTCTAAAATCAACTGAGAAGCCATTTAAATTTGTTAAAAGAGAGGAAGAGAAAAGGCAAATGCGTCGAACTAAATCCCTGAGTAATCTCGCAGATTTTGAGAACAAAACGGCGGAGAAAAAGGAGTTTAAAGCTAATCCATTTCCTGATCGTTTGTTCGATCTGACTCTGGCGGACAGGATGGCCGAAAAAGAGGAGTACAGAGCGATTCGAATGCGAATGCGATCGCAAGAAATGCTCGCTGCGTCCCGTCTCCCCCCTAACATGGAATCACGGGGGGAAGAGTACACGCTTGGTCATTTTAGGAGCAAATTGAATAAAGAAGGCAACAAGAACGCTTTTATGACAAAAGAGCACAAGTTTAAGCCGCAAATTAACCCTGATATACCCGAGTTTGATGCACTTCATAGGCAATTTGAAAAGGAGATGAGAAATAAGAAGACAGAAAAGGAACCTACAGTTGTCGAGCCTTTTAATCTGAGAACAGCGCGCGTGTCCGCTGAGAGGAAGTCGAGATGCTCGCGGTCTCAAGAGGTGCCGGATAGTGGTAGATTGTCCAGAGATCGCTCCGCCAGCCGGGAGAGGTCTTCCAGTGCCAGGCCGTACACTCCTCACGACACACTTCCATTTGGGTTAGTATAAATATCACAATGATTCAAGTTATGGCACTGCTAATGGAGGCAGCGTGGCCGAGTGGTTAGGGCGCCGGTTCAAGTCCCGCTCTGACCACTAAGCTAGAGTTGTTTCTCTGTAGACCCTAGTTCAGCTCCTCAGTCATGTCTGTAAGTAGTCAACTTGTCTGTCTCCCACCAGTTGGGATTCTTAAGCCTATTATGTTTAGTTGATATAACTGTTTCTTTTTGATTAAGTGGCATGCCTGTGAACTAGCTAGGTGTAGCTAAGCGCAATGACCACTATAAACGCCAACATTTGAACATTTTTTTGTACTGCTTCTACTAATCCCCCTGTCAAATAAACTCCTTCCTTTGAAGGTCAGTTTTTTTTCCATAGTAAGCGCGATTCACAGTATATTTTTCTCGATGTTGGTGTTCAGAGTGATATAACCAAATTTTAGTTTGTAGTTTAGGCAGAAGAGAAAACTGACATGAAATGACCTGTCCCTCCTTGAGAAGGAGAAGAGACAAAGCTAAATCGAATTAGTTGGTTTATTTTACTGTGGTGAGGTTGATTGCTGTTCGTACTGCAGAACTACAGAGTCAACGCGCCTGCGTGAGAGCACAGTCCGCAAGAGCCTGGAGCAGAGAACAGCTAGTGAGCAAGACGAGATCAAACAAGAACAACGAAGACGACGCCGTCAGAAGATGCTGAAACCTGAGGTGACAAGAAAAGTGATGGCAAATGATCACAGTGGAATGCTGAAAAAAGCGGCAAAGGAAAAAGTTCAAAATTTCAGGTAAGAAAGGAAAAGTCGCGTCTTGTCCATTGCCTGCAGGACATCCCGGACATTGCAGGACATTGCGTGTTTGATTTAAATTTGCTTGCGCGAAAAAGCAGTCATGGGTGACAGTGCCCCACCACAGTAGTCTAATGTCGCCCCACATGCTTTGTCTACATTCTGAAACTTCCGTTCATCGTAAGAAGATACCGGGAACCGATTGATACTTTTTTCATACATTCAACCCAATGAAAACTCTCCCAAGTTGTTAACTTTAGCCTGGTGGAGGCCCAATCCGTCGGGGGAGATGGGGGGATGGGGGTAGGATTTCGTGAGGAGGGCTATACTTAATTATTTCTTTTTGCATTTTGTTACCTCAGGGAAAGTGATCGAGCACGGAAAGAGGAATACAACCGAGAACTGAAAGAGATGCAAGAACGCATAAACAAACGACCACTACTGTTTGAACAGCAATCCCAGGTCACTGCAAGGCGAGCCGCAGAGCGCAAGTACGCGGATATCCTTCGCAGCGCAGGCGTAGATGAGGCACTCGTGCAGAACTTGGTTACCAAGGATGGGAAGATCGTAGATGCCGAGTCGGACGATGAGTTGGAAGAGACTGGGTCCCAGATGAATTATGGTGGCTCAAGACGGTCTTCAGGGACTGAATACAATAGAGACAGCCATGATGCGAATCTGCAGGAGAGTGGAAGTGATGTGGAAGAAGAAATTGACGAGGAAGATGAAGAAGAAATCTGAAGAAATTGATGAAAAGGCCTGTGGCAATCGTTCAAAGCGTTCTGTTGCGGCATTCGGAGATCGACCCCGAGAAATCCACTGGGCTAACGAAGTCAACGAAGACAGTCCGACTGTCTCCCGAAGATTTCCGAAAGCAAACGCGATACGAACATTCGTGTATCTCAATTTCATCAAATTTATTTAAGTGTAATTATTGATTGGTTATCAAAAGAAACAACGTCTCGAGTTTTTATACACATAAAATAATAGTGCAAACAATATCGCGTGGAGATCTCTATTGAGCGAAAAAAACTACTACGGAAGTTTATTGACAATATTCTGATGTGGATAGGTAGCATTTGTAGCATTAAAAGTAGTGAACATTTTCCCTTGACGATCAATAAAACTTTAGGAACTATAGTAATACTTTGCGAAAGGAATGAAACTTTCTGTTCAATCTATATTTATTCATCATTGACCATCATTAGTCAGCTGATAAGCAATACTAAAGGGTTTATTTTAATATACAAGAACTGAAACCTACGAATCAAAATTTTATGGATTTGTTGCGACGTTACAGAATTCATTATTTCATGAATTGGATTCATGATTGATTTTCCTCTACGTTGCTAACCATTTGAAAGGAAGAACTGGTCGAGATGACCGTCGAATACTGGTAGCCGCTTTTCAAAAATCTTCAAAACGCCTAAAGATGGCGCTCACCTTCCATAATTCGGTTTTTGACCCTATTGCTATGCCTTAATGGGCCTCGTCTCCAAAGTCGATGGACCCTCTTAGTTGGTGGGGCCTTGACAAGAGGAGAGGAACACCCACAGACAAGGCCTTATAACAGCTCCTAAAAAAGGAGTAAAATTCTGAGCGAAAGAGGTATTCACGTTCAGTTGGAATGCTCACCGTAAACCAGTTTTAAACTTCCTGAAGGTCTGTAAGGAAGTATTTCAGCGTGAAATTAGTGAAACCTTTGTCCAGTATTGTTGCAAATAAAACTCCGCGTCTCCAGAGTTCTCCAGAGCTACCTCCTCGTACCAAGACAAGGTCCCGCCTCTGTCCTCTCCTCTGCCTCTCCTCTGCACCCTCATCTCTTTTAGAACGATCAGAGTACGACTTTTACAAATCAAACCTATAGCTCAAGTTTCCGATCATCGGCCTGTCACTAATCCGGTGTTAAAAGTCTCCTATTCAACTGGTCAGCAACAGGGAGGAGCGAGAGCTCTCGAAACGTAACTTGAATCTTGAAACCCAAGATTCGTACTTGTACTCTTCTTACTGTTGTGGTCTGTTGTGGTCTGTTGTATTTGTTGCCTGAAGTCCCGTTAGTTATTATAGTTATTAGCAGTTTGTTATACAAACAAGGCGAAAAAGTCAATGCTGCTTTGTGGACTCAGTGGTACCCTTTCGCCTTGTTTCAGTACACTTTATTTGAACACAGACCCAATTGCAATAATAGCTATTTGATAGAAGGGAGTTAAAAGAAACCACGACGGCGACGCCGAGGACAACGCCACTGAAAGCTGAATTTATATTCAACCTATGAATCAAATTATCTCAAAACGGTGTTAAATTCGGAAAATAAAAACAATACAATCAGTTGGCTGTCCTGCCGGGTTTACGTTATCCAGGATTGGTAGAATTTGCTCAATTTACGTTGTTGTTTTGCAGAGAACGGCAGTGAAATGTACCGAGACTTATGACGCACATGCTCGTTAAACCTTAAGCCCAGGCCAAACGATTGCAACATTTCGACGCAACCTATCGCAACATTAAATGTTGCGATATGTTGCGATCGTTTGGCCGGGGCTTGCAAATACTGGGCCAACAATGTTGCAATATGTTACGTTGAACTGTTGCGATCGTTTGGCCGGGGCTTTCCGTCTGTTTGGCGTTTTAAGTGAGGGCATCCCAGGGGCATTTGGGGAGCAAGGGAACTGATAAACAGACAACGGATATTTTTGGAATTAAACTGAGGGAACAAGGAATATCTCTACGGTCCTCTACTACTCTCTGAACGAGAACTTTGGCGGGAAATTTCAGGGAATAATGAAATTGGGGATCAAAAGAACATGCATCTTCTCCCCTTGGGAAGCCCTCTTTAAGTGACAATTAAGCTCCCTAATGATCTCCTGCACTTGCCAGTATTATGCACGGCCGATTGAACAGATCAACCTGAGAAATACATTGAGTTTTTTAATAACCCATAAACTGTCACCACTAGGAGGTACAAGAGTGGTTCTAAATTTAAAACCAGAATCAAAGTAGCCACTCTGGCAACAACGACAACAACAACAACAACAACAACAACAACAACTTTTATTTCATCCCGGAATTAGAAATAATTTATCGCAATATTATAGGTTAAAAGTAAAAATGATAGGGGTGCTGACTACCCTAAATAACCTAAGAGTTAAAAATGCCAGGCAGCCAGTTAAAAGAAAAGACATTTTACATGTTTAGGTCAGGGACACAAACAAACAAACAACCAAACATAGACACTTACGCAAAATACACAAAATAATAAAACCAATCAAAATCCATGAACCAATCAAAACTCGAAAGAAAAACATGTAACTCACCGCGCAGAGCACAGTTACGATTGGTTTTGGTTTTACTTAGAAAGTGGAGCAGCGCACCATGTTCATTCGGGGTCGAACAGTGATCGGTTTTGCGTCGCTACGCTTTACGATTGGCTTAAAAAACTCGCGCCACTTTTTCATCCAATCAGAAGTCTTAAAACCTAACCCAATTCAACTCGTTCGCATACGATTCCCGCACTTTAATTTGCTCCAGCTGCATCGCAAAGCCTAGTGGTAAAAACCAATGAAATGAAAAACATTATTAATTATGTGACTGCGGTAGATTCTCAAAGATAATCATTTTAATATGTTACCGAAATGCCAAAGTTACGAATTACTTCACATCAAACGGATAAATATTCCGGAATATGAGCTGCACGTGTAAAGCCTCTTTTCCATTAGGGTATGGTGTTTTGTGTGTGTGTGTGTGTTCGAACGATTCTAAATGCTGGTGTGTGTTAATCAGTTTGGAATTCACTAGCATTCTCTAGGTATACAATCATACAATGATACACTAAGGCGGCGGCGGCTTATATTAAGGAATCTTGTATTCTGTTTTAAACTGTCCTCAAATTCATTGGATTGACTTGTTCAATGTAATGTAATTTGGAATTTGTATTAAAGATTAAAGATTAAATATTAAAGATCAAGATCGAAAGCTATACTGAGTGCTGGAAGAAAACCCAATTTAAAGCCTATGGATTAGACTGGCCGAATATAAATACTGTATTTCCTACCATGTAAGTTTTGATTGTAGGTCCCGGTTGCGCTTTCTGTGAAACAGAAAATGGAAAGGAATTTCTCTTGATTCAGCGATTTTTAATGGTCGATTGCTCTTTCCGGAGGGTTCGATTCCTCCAAGAAAAATAAGTATTCTCCATTTTTAATTTTCTTCCTTTTGCAACACATTGTATACACGTTTGGTTTACCATACATTCAATTTCCACGCAAGATAGCCAGACCAATGAATGCGAACAATTTTTATAGTTTATCTAGTAATAAAATAATAATTTCATTCTAGACATCCAGTAGCGAGGAAACAGACCCTTATTTATAGATGGACTATTAGTTACCCGATCTGCTTCACTAGTTTCAAGCTCTTGTGGAATTGATCTTGACGTAAAGACTCCAAACAACAATTACATTAATTCAGCTGGAAGAAGCCTCTGACCTCTTTTGGACAATAATCTTGAGAAAATTTTTACCAACTACTGTTTCCAGGTTCAGTGTCAGTTTTAATCTGAGATCAGACGCGAAAAAAAAGAACGCCTCATTTTACAGTGTATCATTTTCAGGCTAACCACTCGTTTATTGGTCCTTATTAGAGATTTTGCGATAGATTAATGAAAGCTATGATACTCGGCATTCCTATTTTCACTCGCCATGAAGATTTTGTTATTTCATTTTGTGCTCAGAGTATGTTTCAGGTCACTATAGAATTACGGTATCCAATGAACCAATCATAGCGAGCGTACGTTCTATGCTGTTATTTTCAGTAAATTCTGTAATTATCACTTCGGCTCTTACCAACATGACAACCATTTCTTGTACCACAATTAGCATACAGAACCTGATACCATACTACTTATTTCCCTACTATTAACACTTTATGCAATTTTGGTTGTTATTAGATACTATTAAATATACTGGTAGTTTCAGGTATCGCACATCAGCCGAGTTTGGTACCACCGAAGCAAACGGCAAGACCGTATATTATTAAAACCTCGGGCATAACGCTTTCAGGCACGTCTACGTGACACTGTCAGTAATGTTTTCTCGTCCACCAATCAGAGTGCTTTAATTCTTGTTTCTATCACGTAGCAGATGTTACCAGAATACTACTTGCCATGCAAATTACACGTGAGCACATCGTGATGTCGTGATGTACCCATGATTCCCTCTTCCTAGTACAAAGACAACCTTCTTGTTTACTGTGTAAACACAACAAAAAAAGGTAGAAGTGAAACCCTTGACATCAATTCGGTTTCATGTTTTATTGCTTAGATTAAAAGTTAGATTATTAAGCGAGTTGGCCCAAATGCATTTAGTTTTTTTCGCGTAAACGAAATAAGCCCGGCGTTCATTGTACTCGTTATTCAATTATCGAAATGATGACGATTACAAACTCATTCATCCGGAACACATTTACAATCTGCTCTTCAGCTGGCGCAAAGCCAGCGCCTAGCGATTTCGCTTGGTCTTGAACTAAGACGATAATATCGAATAGAATCTTGCTACACAAAAGGATTAATATGATAAGATGTCTGTGAATTTTCGATGGCCCTTCAGCTGTCACGATGTGATTTGTGTTCAAATTGAACTGCCTAACGAAACTTTAAGGTTGTGCTCCTTTGCCTCCAGTCAAGGTCGCGCGAATTATGTTACTAGTTGCTAAGCATCAGGTAGAACTTGTTTGTTTGTCTTGGAAAGCAGTTGATACGTTTTGATAATGATCAACCATTGTTTCATTTCAGATTTCAACAGCTCTTCCCCCGTGCTCGTCCTTGACTTGCGCGAATTAAAAATTTATTACCGAAAATTATATTTCGGCAAATCGGATTCGTCGAAATGAAGATGATTTATTACTTTCTTTCCTTTCCACCGACATGTCACAATGCTTGACACCTGTAATGTACACTGTTCATCGAATCCACTTGCTCGCATCCCTGCGCGACACTATATTTGTGCTGGGAATATCCTCTGTCCAGATTGCTCGGGAAAACTGTGCAATGCTTATTATTTCAAGTTATGCAATACTGCTTGTCTGAAGAAGTGAAATTGTGTTACCGAAATGAAATATCGGAACATATTGTTCCAAGCAGTATAACACAGTACCATTAACCCCCTCCGGATTTCATATGAGATTCTTTATGCTAAAATCCGGCTATTTATGTGTTTTAACTTTTGCTAACCCGTCGTATGCCTCTTACTTGTTGAGTAAGAAAGAAAGTGCTGATTGTCTGTCCCGGAGTCCACTGTCCAAAATATTCCTTTGTGGTATTGTAATACGAGACATCACGATGAAGACTCCGCCTTTCCAAGACTCTCAAATGTCACAACGGACAACACGCACGTATCAAACAGGATTTTACCGGTTAATCTCGTATGAGCGACAATTGAATTGTAGTGTGACGTCACGATGTAAAGGTGTCACTTTGCAAACGGCATTCGCGAAACGAAACTCGAAGAAAACGTGTGTTCAGAAAATTTTGAATTAAACTCGTTCCTTCTGCCGTTCAATTTTTAAACCTGAGGTTTTTGTGGACGCTTTAGAGTGTAAAATTATTCATTGCAATAATGGAAACTAGAAGCTGTTTCGATTTCTGTTGCGAACTGTCATCGCTAATTGGTTTAGCAAAAGACGCTTCATGGTATAAACTTCTTGGAATAAACCTTTTGAGAATAAGAAGATTTTGAACGCGAAATCTGGAAGAGTCATGGTACTCAGCACAACATCTAGCGGAAAGAAAATTGAGAGGTCAAAGAAATATTGTCAAAATTGTAAACACGATTTATGGCTATTGAAGGCCGTGACCAACACGAATGCGATTTGCGTTATGGCGGCTCGAGAGCCAATCAAAGTCGAGGACGGTTGGGTGTGTGTCAGTTACAATTGCAACGGGTAAACACACAAACAAGCTGTCAATCACGCTTACGTCATTCTAAACAATCCGAAGATTCACGAGTGAATGCGATCATTCACGAGTTTGCGCACCTGTGCTCTGCAGAATCTTCGTGACAATATTCGGCGAAAGCGTTCCGTTCGTGACGTCAAAAGACGCGTGGTTCGCTTGAGGGCGAACAATAATGGCCGCGTTCGTGTGGTGAATGACGTTTTCGGCGGAATAGTGCACAGGCTCCATGAAAAACTTGACATTTGTAATTCTTATTGATCGAAGTTTCGAATAAGAAACTCCCGCCATTAGGGAATCATGGCGAACGCATCAAATGTTTTCCGGGTTGGAGGTGAGTGCGATCACACTAGAACTTCAGGGAATTTTTCACTGAAATACGTGAACTTCCCTCCTCGTAAAATTGTATCAGATGGCGCTTTTGTCCTTGAATTTTGAATGCTTCATGTCTTGTGTGTACCCCAACTAGGAAGTAATAGTATTTCTGTGATGAAAGTGAGAGATTTTTTTATGCGCGGACGATTGCGTTATTTTGCCCGTTTGCCGGGAGGATGAACAAAAGCTCCGTACGGTGTACGAGTGTTGTCGGGGACTTCACTGTTATCCTTCTTTACCAGAAAACCCGAGGGAAGTCTCGCGCAATTGGGTTCTTGTAACCGGCAAATTAAGGGCTGTATGGAAGAAATTGATTTCATTGGTGAGGGACGAAAGGAAAACCGAAAAACTTTTCGAATCGTCATTTCTTGTCTGTTGATTTCGTGCGCGCGGTTACCAGCTTAGCGGCTGTCTTGTGTCTTCGTGACCATGTGCGTTTTTTCCGTTGCTGAACGTGTTTTGGACGAAATTAGAGAGTTTTATACAACTTAACAGTGTTAACCAACTTTTCTTTATTCACAGATTACGTATATGTTGAAACCAACCCGGCGTTACCGTATCAAATACGAAGAATTGAGGAGTTGACTAAGGTAAAAATTTAAGGTGGCTCTGAGCCTATATTCATGAATATGTTAATTACGCGCGGACATGTGGAAATTAAGGAATCTTTGATCTTGTTCTTTTAGACTAGTAATGGACAAGTGGAGGCCAAAGTTCAGTGTTTCTATAGAAAGAGAGATTTATCATCAGCCCTTGCCATGCAGGCTGAAAAACATTTGTGTAAGTTAAGTTTAGTTAAATGTTGTACTTTGGGGACATCTGTTGCCTGGAAAGTACTCCCATATTTTTTGTAATTTTCATTGTAGCAAAATGTCTCTTTGTGTTAACCATGTTATCAAACAAGTTACTAATTAGATGCTGAAATTTTGGATAATTAAACTCATTTCCTTACTTTGTCATAATAATATGAAAAATGTCCTGTTCTCCAAGCAAAGCTCTTATTCTTAATTCATCATAATTACCTTTATGATCCACATCCAAGCATGTGAAAAGTTTTCCTGAAATGCACAGCTGCGGTAAAATTCCAGATTTGATTGGTTTTCTGCAATTTAATTCATGCCCAGTTGAGTGGACTATTGAGGTCGTACATCACTGCACATGTAGTCAGGGCCATAGCTAGTAAAAGCAAACCAAGGCACTTGCCTCAGTCATCTTTTTCCTTTTTGTTGCTTGTAATCATCATAAACACCCTAAATACCTAGGAAGAGAATTTTACCATGCACATTGCCTCAGTCATAATGTTTTCATGGATACTGCCTCAGTTTTTTTTCTGGCCATGGCCCTTGTAGTAGTTGAAATTCCTCTCAAGGGTTGTAACAAGTAAATGTTTAGTAGTGGATTCAAGCAAGGCGTTACATAAGAAGACAATGGAGGGAACTATGGACGGGAGGTTATTAGAGTTCCAAGTAGGAATTTAGTGTTATGTTATGTCATTGCATAGTAAATATTCCAAATTCCTTAAATTGATGACATGTAAACGCCCTTTCAGATCAAATGTCAAACGATAATCTCATATTTCAATGGAAGGGTACTAACTGTATTTCACATGCTGGAATAATCCCAGGCCAGTCTGTTAGTTAACAGGAATAGGAAGTATATCTGCTCTCTCATCAAGAGGAATGGTGAAATAGAGATTAAAATTGCAGCGTTCTTTTGAGAAGACTGTTTTAACATTCAGTCTGGGTTTTTAGCTATATTTGGTAAGCAGTAGGTAAAATGCAGACACTGAAAATAAAAACAGGTAAAATTGAACACTGAAAATAGAATTCTTGCTGGTAGCTGTTAGCAGCTGCAAGTACGACCTGTGACCAGTACTACTTGATTAAATTCTCTTTCTTTAAAGAAGCTATGTCACGGTTTACGCATCTTGAAAAGTTTTTTAAGTTCATCTTTTGTAATCTGTGTTAGTCTTCTCCTTCCCTGACCATGCTTGTTCCTTAATAGTTTATTATTATTATCTCTTTGGTGTTTTTCCTCCTTAGTTAACTAATATTCTCAGGTTTCCTTCAATCTGAAGGTAATTTTGTATGTGGCCAAAACAACTTGAAATACTGTCACTGAGCTCCTCTAATGTCTAATTTAAGCATTTTTAAGATTCCAGAATGCATGGATTTGATGGTTTTGTGTCTTGTTTCGAAGTTCTTGGTAGTGTGTGTTGGTAATATTTGTGCTTGATTCTATCTTTCCTACAGTGCAAGCTGAGGAAGATGCAGAAATTGAAATGGGGGATAGTGAAATGGAAGATGTGCTAAGACATCAGCTGAGTCACAGAGAAGTTTTCTTGTCTAGACAGTATGAAAACATTAATGCCAACACCATAAGGTACATCTAAATTAAAACATTGATAAACTCAAATTTCATCCAAAATCTTTAAATCATAAAGGCATTTTAACCCAAGCAGTCCCATACCTGATCAAAGTCTAATTTCTCAATACAGCATTGATAAAATTGTCAATACTGGTGAACTTGAAAAGAATGTCATTATCTATTTTACTGTGATTCAGGTTCCGCCATAATAGTTTTATATATATTTCAATGAGAAAGACACTTAAGTTACATACTTTTTGCTGTTGTGAATATTTTAATGTGAATTCAGAAATGAGAGACTGTAGAGATCTTTAATATGGTTTTCTTTTAGTACGACATGTAACCATGCACTTTAAGACCATGAATGTTAAAACCTCAGGTTAAACTAACAGCAAATTGTCCACTCCCTTAAAACGGTCAGGTCTAAATTCTGGCATACACTGCTTATGCAAATTTAGTGGTTTTGTTCAAATCACTAGTGGTCCATGTATATGTTGTGAGTCAAAAAACTGGACTCAGGTGTTACAGACAGCAAACAAGTCGATCATATGAGAAATTAATAATTTTTTGTTTTCATTTTTATACATGTACATATACTTATTGAAAAGAGTTTCTGTTAGGGTTTTATTTGACCAGTAAAAAAAAGCATGGTTTATATATTCAGCCGTAAAAATTTGAACAAAATGAACAAGAATTGGCAGGGGAAATGTTTCATTTAATAATAAGTACAGGAACCCCTCCACAGGGATTAAAATTTCATCGAACAATATCGAAATACATTTCTATAACTAATATGTACATATATTATACTCCAAAATAACATTGCATGCACAAAATACATTTTCCATTGCACAGATATTCCTCAATAGGCTAGCATCTCTATGTTTACATCTATATCTATGCATATTAATAATTAATATGGACTGGTTGGGTAATCAGCAAAGCATACTCACATAGGCTATGAACCACTTTTAAATCTCTCTTCCAAGAGAAATAATGGTGAAGCCCAGATTTAAAAAAGGTTGAAATATTGCGCTTGTCTTTGGTATGATTTAATATTATTTTGCAAGTGTAAAGAAGAGTGGATGATATAGACATGTGCATTGCAATTAATGCATATAGTATAATGCAAGTTACTTTTCGTGAAGTATGTCAATGACTGTTTCTGGAAAGTTTTTGTTTGGTCATGTGATATCCTGTCAGAAAAACTGGCAAGTTGTATGGTATACTTTGATTTTGTGAATATTGTGGGCTAAATATATGGGAGGAATTCAGTTTTTCATACTGTGCATTTTTGTGTTTTAGGGGAAAGTGTTTGGTGACACTTTACAATGAAGCAGAAGTGTTACCAAAATATTTAGAAAAGGAGGTGTGTTTGTGTGTTATTACATTCAGTACTTTTAGTTAAAATTGTCTACATCATTGAGGTCTGGATAATAGTATTGAGATTCAGCCATTAACTAATTTTTTGTGTTATCTTCCATTGTAAAATTGGGCAAAATCCTGAGTGATCACGTGCTCTATTATAGTGGTCATGTGTTCTATTATAGTGATTGAGGGTGATCAGGTGTCCTATTCCCCTTACAGGACTGGTTTCACTACTTTCTGGTTTATGATCCTCAACAAAAAACCTTGGTAGCAGACAGAGGAGAGATGGGAATTGGGACAGCATATCAAGCTCAAGTGCCTAAAACAGCAAGAAGAGGTAGAGGTCACTCAAAAAAACATTCCATTTGCTTGTGTACTTCAATTAGCTTTTTTAAGAAATCTTCGGCAAATGTGTTCTGAGGCGGGGATTGAGCGGGATGGAAAGAGCTTGTGAGAGATATAAGATACTGCCATGCATACTGTACAAGTAGCTGTGTCAGCAAAAACATGCCTGAAAAGTTCTTGAACCCAGCAGCAATTTGTTTCTCCCTAGAATTTGTTGTATTTCATAGTGTCTAGTTCCATGCATGCCTCTTGTATTCCTATTTAGTAAAATCCCCCTCTTTGACAATAAGTTCACAGGAATATCTTTCAAATTTATATATTAGTACAAGGGTTATTTCAGAAATTAACAGAACACATACGCGGATAGTTTTTTGGCCCAAATTATTGTTAATGTGAATGTTGTCTTGGTAAAAATAATAATTATTGTAGGGCTTCAAGATGATAGAGATCTTGTTAAGCTCACAAGAGTTATTTCAGTAGTTGACAGTACACACATATTTTTCACCTCAAATTATTTTTAATGCAAATGTTGTCTTGGTAAAAATACTTGTAGGACTTCAAGATGATAGAGATCTTGCTAAGCTGGAGACTTTGGTTTGGGATCCAAACAATCCTCTACAGGAACAACACGTTGACCAGTTTCTTGTGATTGCAAGGTACCATGAAATTCCAAGTTGTCTTGATTTGCATTTCAGTCCAACCATTTTTCTTTTGCTTTCATGGAAGTGACCTGGCTGGTTGCTTAATTGAAGTGCAATAGAACACCATTAGTCAAGTCACCAACGGACCACAAATATCTCCAGGGCCATATTGTTGGGGTGGCCGTATTTAAGGTGTTCTCATAATAAGAAAATGACTGACTGAGCTATTGTTCAGACCAGAATAAAGTGGCCATAACAACGAGGTGACTGTATTATTGGGGTGGCTGTAAGACAGGGTTCCACTGTAGTTTAAAACAGTGAGCTGGTTGTGTTTTTTTGAGAACCTCCAGATTGAATCTTGGTGAACATGGGCAGTCAAGGAGTAAACAGGGCTCACTTTTTTTTTTTTTTACAAAACTGTTAATATGTATTTATTATTGATATTTTGGTAGTATAAATGCAGATGTTCATGTATTAGAGAATAAAACAGTGCTGACTAAGTCACTAAAAACAGACAAGTGTATTCATGTAAGCTTCTGTCTGAACTGACATGGAATGGATCATTCTGGTTGCCATAATTTATTCAATATCATTCCAAATACATACATCTAAAAATTGCTGCAGTCTAATGTTCACACTTTTGTTTCATTGGGAATTAGTTAGGCAGATATGTTTCTTTCTGAAGTCCATATGTTGAGTTGGTCAGGTGATGCTGTACCTACCTTCTAGTCCTATCAAACTTGAAAAACTGCTTGGTCATGATCAATATTGGTTCTTATTTGAATTGTAGATCTGTTGGTACATTTGCAAGGGCTCTGGATTGTAGCAGTTCGGTAAAGCAGCCCAGCTTGCACATGAGTGCTGCAGCAGCATCAAGGGACATTACATTGGTGAGTTTGTTAATTCATACCCTGCAGGTCTATAAATTAGTCTTAGTTCCAGGTTTTACTTGTTTGAGACATATTTCCATAATGCTCTAGGGGTATCATTGGGCAACCATGAGCTCAGTATTTTCTTAGAATATCTCCATGCATGTTAAATAGCCTGGATAAACATGGGGTCTCTCTTTCTTTAGTCAACTGTTTTATTTCTCGAGTGATGTCTGAGATATTCCACCCAAAAACATCCATGGAGATCTACATCTATAAAGAGATAGTTTGATGTCTTGGATAGTTGTTGGCTGTGGTTGCAAATGTAGTGAAAAATTTGAATCTGAGTAGCAACCATTCATTTATTCATGGATCTCTTTAGAAAAAAATTTAGGGCATATTACTGACATTACCTGAGCAGAGAAAGACTTGAGTGTGTGAAAAGGATTGAGTTACATGTATGTCATGTCATGCATGACTGATAGAAACCAACATAACATTTATTAGTAGAAATATTTCACTCAATAATAACTTGTTTACTGCTGAGGCTTATAAAATGTTCTTTAGCCAATGCTAAATATAGTATGCAAATACTAGTTACTAGAAGATTGTTATTGCATATTTTTGATGTTTTGAATTGCAAAGCTGACTGATAGTTTGATTTACATATTGCTTTTGTATTGCATTTCATTTCAAACTGGTTTTAGCTTGTCTGTATATTGCTAGTTTGTTGCTTGTACCTATAATTTGTTGGAAAATTCAGTTCACCCTCTGTCTATTGGTGGTCTGTAATATCAATATTTCGGTTAACTGCTCAGGTATACCATAGTTGAAATGCACGTAGTAATAATAATGGATGCTGAGCTAAATTGACACGTTTATGCATTTATTCTGCTTTGGAAAGTTCTAGAAGCATCCCTGCATAGATTTAACCTTATAGTACATGTACACTGTGTAGACAAATTAGTTTTTGAAATGGTGTGAGAAAAGTCTTGTTTTTTTAGTAAGCCTGAGATGGACATTTGTCCAGGTTGACAATTTCTTGCCTGCCATACCCTTGATCTAGAAGCTTCTCATATTTTAGGAGAAAACAAACCAAAAAACATTGACAATCAAAACCATAGTTTTCATTGCCTTTTTTTTTTAAATAATAATATTTAGACTTGAATATGTTGGCATGAACTGTAGCTCCTTAACCTGTACATGTATTCATATTGAACTAGTCTGAAATGTTAAGTTTAATTTTTCTTTGTTTTAGTCTCATGCAATGTGTGCTCTACATAACAATGGTTATAATGTGAGCAAGGCAATAGCTAGTCTAGTTCCTGCAGGGGGACCCATCCTGTGCCGTGATGAGATGGAGGAGTGGTCAGCAGGTCAGTCAATACTTCACATATTTTGCATACATCTGTGATTATAAATGAGTGTTTAATATTGTAATTTTTGAATTCATGGTATATGGTGCAATTTATAGTTCATAACATTTTGTCTATGATTTATCATAGGTGAGGCAAATCTGTTTGAAGAAGCCCTTCAGAAGTATGGAAAAGATTTTACTGACATTCAGAAAGACTTTGTGAGTAGTAATTTGTAGAGATCCTTCTTGGTTAATTTAATTGAACTAGCTCAGAATAAATCTCTATCTCACCAGCTTTGCATGCTGCTCCTGCCCTATTTTAGAAATTTTCCGTACTTCAAAACTTATTGAAAAGCTTGTGAGGTGAGATAAAAGTGTGAATATGATGGTGTGACCTAAGGGAAATTAACGCGATGTATGCTAAGGAAAACAAGTTATTAAACCTGTAGAATGTAAAAGAGAATGACAGATAATAAACAATTCATCTTAGAGAATTTTGCAAAATAGAGAGAATATTTATTGGTTACTTTTATGTAAACTGAATCTGGTCTAATTCTTGGAGTCTTTTTTTTTAGCTTCCATGGAAGAGTCTTTCAAGTATAGTGGAATATTATTACATGTGGAAAACCACAGACAGATATCTACAACAGGTTAGCTTTAAAATTAATGAGAAACACTCTACAAGGATTATTAATATTACTTAGTTTGTTGTCTAAATGTATTGTTATAAATGCTCTTAGATGACATTTGTACCTCATGAACATGACAACAAAATTTTAACATGGTATGTGGGTATGGTATTTTGACATACCATATATACTAACAAGGAACTATTTCAACAGGCTTTGGTATGTGTGCCATTTTTTTAGTAACTGTCCCAAAAATTCTCAGTCATGTAAATGGGCCTTTGGTTATTCAGTAGGTGTGGGTAAGAAAGGCACTGTAAACATGCTCACGCTAGTGGGACTAATTTTATAATTTTCTTAATGGTTTTGTTTTAATCTGTTTACAGAAACGACTGAAAGCAGTTTCAAAGGAATGTAATTTAACACAGATATACATACCTGGCCTGTAAGTGGTTAATTATGTATCATTTGAATTCTTTGCCAGGATTTTGTGGAGACTGGACAAATTCTGCTTCATCTTACAGTCAAATCCCCTTGACAAACACCTCCTATAAGTGGCCACCTCTCATATCTGCGTAGGTGGATCTCACAAACACACATGCTCATAATTTTTTCTTTACACAGATACATGTACCTCTCATAATTGGGCACATTTTTTGGAACACATTTTGTGGGATGTGAATGACTTCATATTACTGACCAGTATGTTTCCATGGCACAGTCAATTAGATAAAGATGAGTTTTTTAGGTGACAAAAATCACATTTTCTGTTTCAGTGGTGGAAACACGACCCAGTCAGGGAAAAAGCAAACATCAACCATTATTTTGACTCCACCACCGGGTGTGGCAACCAATCTTTTTGGTGTGTCATGTGAAAGCTGTTACGGTAAGAACATGGCTTTAATTGATTTAATATCATTATTAAATACTGAATAACTCACTTGCATAGTGAACAATTATTGTTCCATGACTGTGCGTTGGATATGAGTTGGCTATAACCATCTCATTCATCTCATATTAAGTGTCCAACAAGCTTGAGTGGAATCATGTTTTATTTAAAAGGCCCCCAAAATGGGCAAAACTTTAAGTGCCCATAATGTCAATTTGTTTTTCACTCATCTAATTCTACATTTCACCTAATGAAGTTCTGCGAAAAAATTTTTTGATTTGGATAAAATGCAATTTTCTTACGAATTTTTACAAGTTCAAAATTCTATTTTCTTGCGGCCAACCCCTGCTGCTGATCACAAGAATAATGTGCTCAAAATGGCTACGTGACTGATGTCTGTGACGTAGGTTCAGGAACCTGCGATGAAGACTGATGTTCTTTTCTGGATCATTAATGTTGTTACAAAGAGTGGCAACGCACCTTTCTGGCATTTTCAACTAAATGGAGACAACTCTGAAGCAAAATGCCCACTTGTTTTCAAGTCAGATAAGTCACAACCCAAATCACGTGTCCCTGAACCTACGTCATGACTCACTTCAAACCGAGGAAGACTGCTGCGAATGGTGGACCAAAATGGCGGCAAATTTGAACGTCTTTAAAAAAATATTCAAAAAATTGCATTTTATGCAAATCGAAAATTTTTTTCAAGAAAGTTAATTGGGTGTTATGAAGAATCAGATGAGAAAGCAAAAAAATTGACTTTATGGGCACTTTAACTAAAATAAAAACACCCTGAACAATCAGCATACTCTTGCCGTATTTGTAGAGCATGGTACAAAAGCCTTTTCAGTGATGCTCTATAGAGTGTATGTATGTATGCATGGTATAATGGCTCATAACCCATGATGGCTTAGCCAATGAAAACTCTCAAATTTCATCATCCAATGATCCAGTTTTTAATAATCACAATACAACACTGGACTTGTAACATTTGTGTTTGAACCACAGGAACATCATCCCAACAATGGTATCCCTGGGGAGTTCCAAATTCTCAGCACAAGTTCTGGCTTTGCACACTGTGCTGGATTTACTGGAAGAAATATGGTGGCTTGAAAAGACCAGGTATTTACATGGTGTTCCTGCTTACATTTATGCTGCATTGCCAGGGACTGTTGAATACCTGAAGTCCCTGTTTATGCAATGGGGTTGGATTGACCACATGGAGAGAGAACCCTGTTTCCTTGCAGCTAGGACCACATCTGTTAAAAATGTTTGCTTGACAGTAACTTTTGATTTAAATTTATTTTAATCAGACGGATTATCTGGAAAGTCTCATGGCAGCCTGCAGCCAAGTTACACATGCAGAGTTTGTGGGAAGGTCTTCAACAGAGCAGGTTTGAATTTTATTTGTTCCTTCTGTAATGTAAATCAATGTGCTACAGGTTAACAGTCATTTAAAAATACATGTAGTGTACTCAAAACATCTGTGGATAACACACACTACAATGTTTGTTTAGTCAATGTCATTATAAATTATANGTTTCAAAGACTTCAATGAGTTAGAGAGAACTGTAAGAAACTCAGCAAGTTTGCCAATTTTTAAGAAGTGTCTTTTTTCTGCTTTTTATAATTAATTTTTTTTTTTTTTTAATCTCTGTAGTGTATATGTTGTAAATATTTATTTATTTCGGTTTTAGCTCTAATTAATAGATTTTAATTGTATCATTATATAGTATATATCTAGTATTAGGACCTCTATGTAAACCACTTTTAGTGATGGAGCTTCCTAATAAAAGATTGTTACTACTAAATAGCCAACTGGTCTGCCTCCTGCCAGTTGGGATTTTTAACTATGTTATATTTATTTGAAATATTTGTTCCCTTGTTTCATGTTTACATTTTACAAAGGAATACGTAGAGCACAATTTGCAAAGTTGTGATGGTCTCTTCCTATTCATAACGATATGGGCTCAATTAATGTTTATGTACAGGTGTTTAATTCCCGTCCAAACCTCACGCGGCACCTGACAGCCGTGCATGGATACAGACCTCCCAGCCCACGTAAACTCAAGCCCAGGTCACCATTCTATATCAAATCCACTCCATTGACCAGACTAGCTCGGAGGCTCTGCCAGGATCTCTATAACAAAGTACATCACTGCCGAGTTCCTGGGGGCACGCTCAATATCCAAGAAATCAGATCGCAGTGTAAGTCTTTCATCTTACTTTCCCACCTTTATTGATCAATAATCAATTTGCTAAACTATACACTATACATTGCATGGCCCCAGAAGCTTACAGCTTTAATTATTACCATGGATAAATAAAGTTTATTGTATTTGTATTTGTACTTGTTATGTTATGGAACATAGAATAAAAAATTCTAGCTTTCAGCCACCTGTAACAACAACAACAGCAACAGCTTTATTAATGTAAAATAGCTGAGGGTGAAACCCTGTACTAATTGAGAGCACCTAAAAGTGAAGATTAAGGAACTATTTACAGCAGTAAAAATTAAAATTAAGGATCTATTTACAACTGTTAAACATTAAAATAAAAAGTAGACATCTATATACACCATTTGTAACTTTCAGTCGATGAAGGTACAGCCCTCAGTGGGAACAGAATGAATTGTGTATTCATTTCTTTGTTTTTAGAAGCTGTATTCCCTCAGTTAAAAGTTCAACAGCACGTAATATTTAGCCAGACGATTTTGACAACTTTTGTAGATTTTTACTGTGTGTTTATACCCTGCTAATATTCTGCGTAATTTCAGTCTTGTTTACATTGCAAGACCATTATTAACCTCTTGTTAGTTCTTGTGTCCCGTCATTGCTGTCAAAATAAGAATACTGAATAACTGAATCTTCATTTTCAGGTCTGAAGAGACTTGAGACACCTGAAGCAGACGCCATCATCAAGGCCAAGAAACAAATGAAGAAGCGAAAAATTCATGATGCTGTGGACAAGATCAAAGCAAACCCACCCAAACCACACAAGCCCCCCAAACCCCCAAAACCAACCCTACTACCACTCCCCAAGGAACATTCACCGACTTCGCCGCCCCCACCCACCCCCACTGGTCACTCTATTACCTCGCCCTCCAGAAAAATGATTCCCCCGTCTAAGAGTTATGTACCTATCCAGCCGACCCCGCCCAAGGCAAGTGATTGGAAGTATGCCGCCATACCTTCAGCTAAACCTGTTGTCCAGAGTCAACAGGTGCCACAGGCGACCTCTAATCACATGATGGCTAGGAAGCGATCACATGACAGCGGCAGCTCAGTACAACAGAATGGAATTGACGGTAAGATATGAGCAGGCGTTAGTCTGTGTCAGTAGTTCTCTGCGTCGTCATGCATCCCCAAGAAGCATTGCGTGACAATCTTATAAAGTTTTTCTGAAATCTAACTCAAACTTTTTTTGTACATCGCGGTGTCATAATTTGTAACAGTCAATAAAGCATCTGGTCTGCAAATCCTGTTAGAACACCCAAAACGGACCAAAAACGTCCTCCCTGGTGGCTATTGTCTTGCTTTGTGATTCGTTCATTGGCCAAGTGGAACAAAGTAACATTCCTTAGTTTTACATTGATGATTTATCCATTGGTCCTCGTCTGTCAGTCTAATCATGTCTGCTGTCTGTGTCCCTGTCTACAGGTCCGTCACCAAAACGACTAAGTGCAACTTCACCTTTAGGAAAAAAGGGCTGCGAGTGCACCTACTGCGGAAAGATCCTTCATAACCAAGGTGAGCAAATCCTCTCGTTACTCCCGTTTTTCTAGTAACTTATCAAACACGAAAGACCGTGTTTGACCTCATTTCCAAACGCCGAGAAGAGAGTTAAAAATACGACGTGCAGCGGAGTATTTTTGACGAACGTCGAGGTGTTTAGAAATGTGGTTAAATACTGTCTTGAGTGTTTGATATATCTTCTCAGTCCAAACTAAAACTGAGGAAAAAATTGAGAAATAAAATCCCAAAAATCTGTGCTAATTAAGATCAGATATTCAAACACCATCACGGTTATGATTTCCTTTGTTTAAACTTGATGAATTATGAATGAGTTTGAGAATTAACCAAATAGCAGTCTCCCTGACTGTTAGAAAGGAATTTCATTAAATCAGTACTGACTTGTTTTTTTGTTTTGTAATTTTTCCAGCGAGTCTGACTCACCACGAACAAACGATGCATGCGTCCACAGAGCCACCTAAACAGCGGTCGTATCCTGCATACTGTGACGTCAGTCCCGCTATAGGTCCCGGATCGACCAAGATCGTGCCGTATGCGCAGCACTCGGTGACGTCATACATTAATGGGCAGCTTCATTTAGAGCGAGCCATGAACAGTGTGCCAAATTACGCGGGGGTCCCTCCAGGGGCTGCAACCAAGCCTTACCTGCTTCCTAAGCCAGCACCGCCCCCGGCACCGGCGGTCAAAGGAAATCCCGAGGGAGGGCTGATTGTGAATTCAGTGGCCGCTCCAGTGCCTAACAGGGTGATAGTGGGTCCGAACACCAAGCCTGTTGTTAACAGTAAGCCCAGTCAGGTTATCAAGTCTGTTGGGTCCAAGACTCAAGTCAATCCACAATTCATTGATCCACCCGAGGAGTTCCAGTTCCTGTCAAACAAACGCTCAAGGTAACATATCACCAAGCATGTAATCTTAGAGTACTCGCTCACTAACGCACCTGTCCCATACTCGCCTGCTCACTCATCCCTCCCATATTCGCTTACTCACTCACCCATCCCAACGCCTAATCCCCATACAGTGGAACACCATCTTACGGGCACCTCGTTAATACGGTTCCTCGTAGTCGTTATTACGGTCACTTTGTTCTGGCCTGACCAAAAGCTCAGTCAGTCATTTTCTTATTTAGAGAACCCCTTTAAGACGGCCACCCTGCTAATTCGGCCAGATTTCTGTGGCGCTTCGGAGAAAGGAGTAACGGCGTTCCATTGTGTTTGGAACGGAACAAACTGTATCTTAACTGTAATAACATTGAAATAAAACCTCTTCTTTTTACGCAAAGCATTTAGCAATGAGGTGCTCTTCTCTTTTATCCCCGCCACAAACAAAACTAACATTTGATCGCAATCTACCCGCAAAGCAGACAGAAAGCAGTAGCAAGAGAACGCGACAATACTTTCTAATGGCTGGTTTTTAATCGACCCTTAATCATGGGTGTTAGATCATAAAAGGGAAACGCCAAATGTATGGCGAAAGGGGCACTTCCGAGTTGCCTTTTGCCTCTGTTTCAAACCGAGTCTTCGTGCAAAACCATTCTTATGGAAATGGTACCGCCTTCAGATTCATTTTCATGCAAATCAAACGCATTTTTATGTGAAATGTTTTGCTTGAGGACTCGTTATGAATTAGAGGCACAAGGTAACTCGGAAATGGCCCATTGCGTTTTATCTCTCTGGCTTTCAAACATCGTACCTCTGAAGAGAAAATTAACATCCTGTATAAAGTACTTGTACAGTACAGCACTGATGCATCACGGTACTCACTGCGGATTGAACGCTTTTTTGTGTTTTTCAATCGTTTCACATTGAACAGAAATCATATAGGTGCAATTGAAGGGGTGTGTGAAAAAAAAAAGACCCAAGTGACTTTTGATCTCGTGTCAAATTCTCCTTTGTTCCTAGAAGGAAGTGAAAAGCAATTTGCTAGAAGAATCTTGCAGTCTATTAGATGTCACTTAAGGCTTTTTCCATGCTTCCCTTCAATATACTTAGTATTTTATATATTTAATATGTAAGAAAGGATATTTCCGTCCAATTCACCCTGTACTCCATAACTGATGAAAGGATTTTGTGAGGTCATTGTACTTATCATCCCGTTGAACCGTTTTTCACAGGAAAGCTCGCCGAGCTTTGTCAGTGGACGTGCAAAGAAGAGTGGCCAGGAAACCGTGGAAAGAAGTCAAATGTAGCGTCAATCTGCGTGCTCTTATCTACGCTATGCCAGTCCGTCAGGAAAATGAAACAGTGGAAGCAATAGTTATTGACGACGACTAACACGTTATTCATGAAGTCATATTGCGGTCAGCGGTTACTGCGTTTTTCTGGGTACTAGCGCCGTGAAAACCACAAGGATGCGACAAGTGCGAATCACATGATCGAATAACTGAATCACGTGCTTTATCTTTTGACACGAAGTGACTACAAGGATTGCATGGTGATAGTATGATAAATGTGATCGAGATGCTGTGATCACATGATGCATCCATAGACGCACGTGATGTAAGCTACTTAAATCACGCGACGATCACGCGGTGAAACCGACTTCAAAGATCACGTGATAAGTAAGAAGATTTAAGTGAAACTTTGTTTACAGTGCCGGTGTGAAGACTATTTCAATTTTCCTGGTGGACTATAACAAAGGGAAAAACTACGGGCTCCCTGTAAACAGACCAGAGGTTGCTATTTCCATTCGTAAGGATCAAGTCTGTTTATCTTGGAGTTGTGGTGTTGTAGAAATTCTTTTCACTTGACTTGAAAGATTGTTTTCGTTGACCTTGTGGGTTTTGCTTACCGTGGAATGGTCTTGTTTTCTCAGGCGTTTAGTAACTGTATAAAGAGCATTAACAAAGAAGTATATATAATTCATATCTGCGCGGGAAGACCTTAAAGTGTTTTGCAAACATTGTATAATAATTACGAGTTATTCCTTTTATAACGAGAGAGCTATCTATTGTATCAGATTTTTATTTTAAAGTACTTTGTCTGTCAGTGTTATGAAATGTATGTAATTATTTATTTGGTCTTTGGCAAGACCGTAAGTGCCTTTAGACGGTCTTTAAGCTGAACTGCAGTTTTGGCTTTTGTGTTGCCATGAAAACAACAGGCTCCATTTGTGTTCTGCCACTGACTTACCGCAAGGGAAATTTTTGTTATGCGAATTCAGCAACGAATTGCATTTACCTTTGGTGCCTAAAAAACCTTGCTTTTCCGAACTTGGGTTTCCAGGCAATTATCACTCGCTGACTTCGGAAAGAGCCTAAAAGCGTTCGGCATTTCTCGGCAGCTCATCGTAATACGAAGGATATCATTGGATAGACAGAGTCACGTGGATTTTTCAACTGTAACAAACTGTAACTGATATTCTAAGAAGACTGCTGCTGGAAAACATTCGAGTAAACAAAATAAATTGTATATAGTTATTAGAGAGTATAGCGGTTATTTGCGTAAGGAGTTGAAACTTCGAATAGTGTGTTTTATCGTCACTTACTGAGGATTTTGCGTGAATGAACAAATGTAATACAATAACACGGCTCAGCTTTCTTTGAATATGATCCCGGACATTTCATGACGACCCAAATAAGGGTCGTGACGGGTCCGGTGAAGAAATGCTGTTCGGCAGTTAGCATTGTGGGATTTAAGTGTGAGTTTTTCAGGCGCCAGGATAATCCTGAGTTACTGCAAAACGTTCGGGAAAGGATGTCCTCCGTTAATCGCCAAGAAGCGCCCGTGAAACGTGTGCGTGAAAACGAAGAAAGGATTCCTCTGGTCCCGACATACCACCCCCTGAGTTCGCGCGTTAAGCACATTTTGGTCAACAACTTTAACATCCCGACGAGAGACATTGCGATTGCAGCAAATCTTCCCAGCTCCACCTGTAGTTGCACATTGACGCGATTGCAGCCTGAGATATCCTGGTATCCACCTCTAACAGGTCTCAGGCAGAGGTACCGGGAACTTTCTCATGCCAACATCTCCGCTGCCGCCCTTGCCTATACACAACGTCCAACGACCATGTACATGGACCCAAGTGGTCAACCACTATCCGCGAACGCTTTATGTGTAAATCAAAGAACGTTGTGTACTGCATCTCGTGCCGTGGATGCCCCATCAGTGAGACGGGTCGTACTCTACGCGAACGTTTCTGCGAACATCTTCGGAGCGTTCAAAAGAACTCTTGTGGTTTCACGGTCCCAGAGCACTTAAACTCTCCCAGGCACTGTCTATCAGACATCGCTGTAAGAGGTCTAAGGAAGTGCACTGGCTTTAGTTTGGCACTATGCAACCAGAGAGCCTAAATAATGTTTTCAATTTCTCGTAAACGGGGCGCGCGCGTCTGGTCTCTGCGTGCTTAGCCTCCGTTTAACAAATTGACGTTACTTTTTAATGCGTCTGTACTCTTATTGATGACAAATTGCGTCATAACATTGTCAAAGTGGCTGTGGAACCACGAGCCGCAGGCGAGTGGTTTCGCAGTAAACTTTGNACGTTACTTTTTAATGCGTCTGTACTCTTATTGATGACAAATTGCGTCATAACATTGTCAAAGTGGCTGTGGAACCACGAGCCGCAGGCGAGTGGTTTCGCAGTAAACTTTGACAATGTTTATGACGAAATTTATCTTCAATAAGAGGACAGACGCATCAAAAACTGACGCCAATTTGTTTTTTAACCAGACCCCAAAATGGTCAAATACCGGGAATAAATGAGGGAAAAGACGCCGTAAACTTGCCGTAAACAAAAATAAGTGAATTTTATTCAAAATGACGCGAACATTGTCAATTTTGATTGGCTACTTAAAAAAGTCCACAAAATCTCATCTCATTGACGGCTTAAAGTTGAACTTGACAGTTATTGTAAAAACGTTACTTTCAAATGAACATCCGCGCGCGCCAACCGAACAGGTTTCACACTGAAGAGGGGCTATGCCCGAAACGTTTTTGATTTTTCACAAGATGACACTAGCACTTTGACACATTTTTCAACGTTATCAGTTTTCAATTCTTTTGTCTCAGTATTATGCTTCAAATAATGTCGGCGTAAGGTGAAAATCCCTAATACAGAGTTACACCTCACAAAATACTTCAATTACAAGCACACCACAGTACAACCATAGGGACAAGCAAAAGTGCCCATGTTATGCAGAGCTATTATTTAACGAGGCTTGCTAGGGGAGGGGAAGACGGGGAGATGCGTTCCTTCTTAGTTAAACCTGGGGACGAGGCTGCATTTCCTCCTTATTCAAAGCTATTCAATCAACATGGAGGATAGTCCACGCATTCCCTCGATCGTAAAACTCAATGTGGGCGGTCACCACTTCACAGCAAGCGTTCAAACGCTAACCAAAGATCCAAAGTCGATGCTGGCAGCCATGTTTTCAGGGAAGTTTGAGATGAAACCTTATGAAGACGACGCGTTCTTTATCGACCGAGATGGAACTCATTTCCGGTTTATACTGAATTATCTTCGCACTGGAAAATTAACTTTGCCTGAAGGAGCAACATTCCTGAAGGAACTGCAGGAAGAAGCTGAATTTTATCAGATCCAGGGAATGCTGATGGAGTTGAAGAGTCTTACCAGCACGAGCACGACCCCGAGCACGAGCACAACCGTAAAACTCAACGTTGGCGGAGAGTTCTTCACAACGGATCGTCAAACGCTGACCAGAGATCCATCCTCAGTCCTGGCAGCCATGTTTTCAACCGGGCCCCATCGTGATCCATTTTTCGACCCTATGGATTATGGGGTGAAACCACAACCATCTGACGACGGTTCGTTCTTCATTGACCGAGACGGAAAACACTTTAGGATTGTCCTCAATTATCTTCGCAATAAAGAGTTGATTTTACCAGAAGATGCAAGTGATACCTTCCTCAAAGAGCTTGAAGCAGAAGCTAAGTTTTACAAGATACGGGGAATGAGAAATGAATTAGAAGAGATTTTGGAAAATCGAAGGCGAAAAGCCAGAGCTAAGTTCTTTTAAGTTTTTTAGAGTAGCAGATATATATCTGAAAGCAACGGACTTTGACATTTTTAGTTTCACGCCGTCAGGTTTCTTGCGAGCGCTAAAAGGGCAAGCTACCTAGGAAATTGTCAATTAGAAAACGCCGTTTCCAGCGTTTCTAGGACCCAAGAATCAGTTTCCTAGGCAAGACTGGAGTTCACTTGAATTCTCTTGAAAAGGTAGATTTTTAATAAACATGGACGGTTAGTAGAAGAAGGAAGCGGGAGGGGGGGGGGGAAGGGGGAAATGGCAACAACAGAATTTGCAGTTGCATGTATATCATTCGAACATCGGATTGCGTTTTAAGTTTGAAATTGTAAACTTTGCCAGCTCAGCTTTTCAATACATCAAGGTCAGAACCAGAAGTTTATGAGATGTTTTAGTCCAAACAGAGAAAAAAAACCCTGAATATTTGGTATCAAAGTATCGGACATGAAATTGTAAAACAGCTAAACCAAACGTGCTCGTGGGTAAGAGTAAAACTAAGAAAAATATTAAAAACATAAAAGCTAATCAATTATCTAATTTACATGCAATTTTAAACATAAATTAATCATTCAAAATTATAATTACATATTACGTTAATATTATAGTCGTAGCCTGATGAGGGGCAGACAGCGTAAGCCATGTCCGGAAATATTCCAAGCATCTCGAGATAACCTTGCGGTGAGCCATCAAAATTCACGCCCTTTGACGCTTGGAAAATAACGTGACACCCCGCTTTAGGCTTCGATCGGACTACGTTAATCAAATAGCTAAGGAAATAGGTAAGTCAGCTAAACGATGCTCTTCGTGAAATACTATATATACTATATTTTTGAAGTCCGATCTTATATCCTGGTTGTAAAATGTCCCCTCTCCCCTTATCAGTAGTCAGTCCTACAGTTAGCAGTGTAATTGAAGAATTTTTTTCATTTTCATTTAATTCTTAATGTTATGTTATTGGACTATACTGGAAATCATTTTTTTCATATATTAATGTAAGATCATATGCTTTGTTGAAACATTGCAATTTTACAGTTCAATGTTTAAAAAAACTACTGTAGAATTTCGTAATGGCTGATTGTTGACAGTAGAAGTCAAAGCCAAGTTTTTACTGGATTGTGAATAGTTGCGTAGTTAGTTGGTAATTACTGGATTGTAATTGATATTTGAGAGAAAAGTAAAATTTTTATTGTTTTACAAAAAGTGGAATCGACTTCGACGATGCATCGAAGAAAAGTCTGATGCTTAGGCCCCTACGCCGGAGGAATTTGAAAACGTAGCTTTATTTCTACGGTCAGGCCTACCGTCCACACTAATTCGTCACGAAAATGGAGCTTTTCGAAAACCTTCTTCAACGCCAGCTTGTCGTTTCCATGTGGACGGAAAACATTCGCGATAATCATGGATTTTTCCTCAAATACCAATCCAAAATGACCGCTGATTGTTGCGTTTTCAAATTCCTCCGGTCTAGTGTGGACAGAAAACATTCGATGCGTTTTCGGAGTGAAACCTCCGTTTTCAAATTCCTCCGGCGTAGTGTGGACGGAAAACATTTGATGCGTTTTCAGAGTNCCCTACGCCGGAGGAATTTGAAAACGTAGCTTTATTTCTACGGTTAGGCCTACCGTCCACACTAATTCGTCACGAAAATGGAGCTTTTCGAAAACCTTCTTCAACGCCAGCTTGTCGTTTTCATGTGGACGGAAAACATTCACGATAATCATGCGATTTTTCCTCAAATCCAAATCCAAAATGACCGCTGATTGTTGCGTTTTCAAATTCCTCCGGTCTAGTGTGGACGGAAAACATTCGATGCGTTTTCGGAGTGAAACCTCCTTTTTCAAATTCCTCCGGCGTAGTGTTGACGGAAAACATTTGATGCGTTTTCAGAGTAAAATCTCCGTTTTCAAATTCCTGCCGCGCAGTGTGGACGGGTCCCTAGTAAATAGTTTGCTTGCACACACCAGTGCAGTACTGTCGCGTGCAAGTGTTCAATTGGACCAGGCTAGGGTCCATCTCTTTGTAGCGGATTTCGACCGCCTTTGCGAAATGAGACCCCTAGGAAAAGTCGAAGAGCGAAAAGTAATCATG